TATCATTCTTTTTGCTTAGATGGATGAAGAAATAGAAAGAAGGAAAGTTAGCAAATATCTAAATGACTAAAATGTTCTTATCAAAATATATCATATTTAAAATTAAATTAAATTAAATTAAATATTGCAATAGAAAAATTATACTAACATTAGCATCATCAATAATTTAAAATTAAATTATTTGGTTTATATATATTTTCAGATTATTACGTTTTAAAACCAAATTATTTAATAAAATATGTTTTAAGATAAAAATAAAAAGTGAATAACTTTTTTAATATAATAGAAGAAAATAAATATAAAGAGAGGAGGGGCAGTCATAAAAATCTTGTTTTTTCTTCCCAAATCTCTCTATATGGAGGAGAAAATGAGGCATAGGGCCTACTTTATTTTCTCCTCCATTTTTTTCCCTGTCCAAGCAAGAGAAAACTTGTTTCTCCTTATGTTTTTCTTTCGAGTTTTTCTCCCTCCCTAATTTTCGTTCAATCCAAGCGAGGGGTAAAGAAAAATGCAAAGTTATCAAACTTCAATTAATTGTAGACTCGTATCTTAAAGTCTCACAAAATCACAACTTCTTGATTTACCAAAACTAGGGGAAAAAAGCCTATGAGTATTACTAGTCAAATAAGGAGAAAAAGATGATTAAGTTTTGATTCATATGAAAAATAACTCTGCATAATCAGGGTAATATAACAAGACTGATCATTACATCACAGACAATAAACTAGGACTGGTCACAGGACTAGGACAGACCCGTCCTGATGAATAGTAATGAGACAAGGAATTTGTCCTGTGTCTCATCCCGTCCCGATATTGTCCTGATTCCAGTCGGGATGGGACCAGGACGTCCTGGTACTTTTTTTTTTGTTGAAAAAAACACCATGGGCCTTCTAAAAAACGCTGTGGGCCTTTAAAAAACACTATGGGCCTTTTAATAGGAGATTTTAAATGATCTAGGCCTTTAATAGGAGATATACTTTTCATATATCAACAATTTTACAATCTAAACAATAATAGACAGCTTTATATCTACTCATTTACTGAATGCTCGTACAATATATAGTGAGGATACACTGAAAAATAAACCATTACTCAGCAACATCATGATAATTCAAGTATTCAATAAATGGGATAGTAAGAAAACAAAGTTAATCATGTGATGGATTTTGTCATCTTGGCAAGACAGGAAGTAAGAACAACTAACAAGTAACAAGCATCAATTGTCATATATTTTTTAAAATATAACCAAAGTTATATTTACAATAAAAGCTAGTTGGAGACCATTTGTCACTATCAATCAATTATCTAAATTCTAAATAGTCATTAAAACACATAAATAAAAGGCTTTAACAATTAACCCCACAAAAACTCATTGAAAATCTAAGCACCAAGCCACTAATAGTCTCAAATTACTAGCAAATATAAAAGGTCTAAATCAATAGCTCCAAAGTTCCATAGTCCATACTCCACACAATGGTCTCAAACCATAAAGAAACATAACAAACAGTCCCAACATCCAATGAGGCAATAAGTCCATCACCAAATGACCACACTACGTCATCACAAACACTCGTCCAGAAAATAATAGAACCAAATCCATCCAGCACACAATCCAACATTTATTGGTTATTACTACTTCACAAACCATCAACTAGAGAATGATACATACAAATTATAAAAGAATTCAACAACTAGGAAAATTTGGAGAACCAACGAATGAGGCAAATTAACTCGGTGGGTTTTTACTCATTTCACAAAAGATTTTTATTTCTCTGTCTCATTGTGAAGAATATCAAACAGATCCCAATCGGCCAATCCATAGTCCATATTCATACAAAGAGGCAAAATATCATGTTGGCTATTAAGATGAACATCATAATAAGCATATAAAAGTATTTAATATATTAATTAAAGATAAAAAGCAAGCACTATAAAGTCATAGATTATAGAGAAATAAATAAGAAGAAATAGGAATTGTTGCTACATGGAGACGTCGCGCATTTGCCAGAAGTTACGTAGGGATGGCAGGCCGGGAATGGGCTACAAGGTTCTGGAGCTTGGGATCGGGAAGAGAGAGTCAAGGCAGCGTGAGTTAGTAAGCACTAAGTACCGTTCTCCAGCGGCCTCTTTCGCACTTCGTAAATGAGAGAATAGCCGAGAGCGGAGACCGAGAGGCGACTGGTGAGAGTGTAAGACATGGTTCGCTGCTTCCATCAGCTATCGCTGTCTGAAATCTGAAGGGAACGAAAGTGAAAAGTGAAAACTGGAGACTAGAGAGAGGCAAAGACAGTTAGGGCTTCAGCTTCATATTTTATTTGTTTTTACTTTTTAATAATATTAATAATATATAACTCATAATATAAATATATAAGATATTTTTTTAAAAATATACATATCGGGATGGGATGACCCCGTCCCAGTCCCATTTTTGTCCCGTTCCAAAATTTTTTGGAACGGGCCCGTCCCTTTCAATAAGATCGAGACTGGGACAGGCCGGCTGTGAACATCCCCATGAGGAACCGCATTATAAAGGGTGGGATTGGAACGGAAAGAAGATTCAACGTGAAGACCCCAAAAAAAAAGAGAATTTCACTTCACCTTAGACGTATTGCAGTCAAAATCTTAGTTATGTACTACTAAGAAGAAGAGCTGAATTTGATTTTAAATACAAGAGTTTAGTATTTCATCTCTTATATTTATTTTTAAACACTAATTTATTTAATTCATGAATTGATATATAATTTATTTAATATTATATAAAATATTTTTGAAAAAAATATGTTATATATATGGCAATTAATTATTTCAATCTATTTAAATTAATTAAATAATTTTTATATCAAAAAACAAAGGGGCTCGTTTATTACAAAAAAGGAACTCCTTGGTGGCAGTAGAAAAATCAAAGCTTAAGACCGGCGCGAACACGCTCGCGGGGGGAAAAAAAAAGGAAAGAAAGACCGGCGCGGACGCGAATCGGGGCCTTCACGTGCCTCCCTCTCATTTTCTTCACTTGATCTGAATTTGCTGCCACTTCGCTTTTACTTCTCCGCGTCAAAGACCTGTGAGGCGTGAGCCCCAGCCCAGCCGGTAAATGGCCTTGCACGACCGGTTGTAACCGGTAAATCCGGCTCTCTTCTCCGGTGCCATACACTTTCTGGCTTCTGCCATCTTTTCACCCGCAAAACCCGAAAATCCCTGCTCTCGCCCTCTCACTTTCACATCCACGTCCGTCTGCTTTTTCGAAAGAAAGGACCGCTTCTCCGGTGTCCGAGACTGATTCAGCTCCTTCCGAACTTGGTCCTAGGGCTTATGAGGTTCGTCATTTTCGTTTATCAACCTTCTTTTTCTGTTACCTTCGTTTGGTTCACGACAAAATTTGAATGGAAACAAGAAGCTAATTTTTTTCCTTAAGCTTTGCAAGTTCATTCCTGCCTGGATCATTCGATCTTCGACGTACCGTGTTTTTTTGTTGTTGTTGTTGTTGTTATAGCTTTTCTACGTGCTTTTGCTGGTCTGCAGTTGAGGATAGTCGTCTTTGGCTGTGGCATTTCTATAGTTTTTTTTTTTTAAATGCTAAACATGCTGAACATGGTCGAAAATCTATGCATTCGATTGAACTCGCCGTTGGTTTTACCAATTTTGATGCTAGATGCTGAGGTTGGAGTTAAACCACGCCGTTCGAACTTAATTGTTTAGTTTGTGATTTTCCATTCTGTTTTATTAATTGCGATTTAATTCGTTATTTACTGTCTATAGAAAATGTCTGGAGCTGAGGTACTATGGGAGAGATTAGTCCGGGCTGCGCTGAGGAGGGCAAGGATTGGTGACGATACATATGGACGGCCGGCTGTTGGAATTGCTGGAAACGTACCATCGGCACTTGCCAAAAACAGGGATATTGATGAGATATTAAGAGTTGCAGATGAAATTCAAGAGGAGGATCCTAATGTCTCCAGAATCTGTATGCTTTCACTGCTTGTTTTCCATTCCAACGTATTTTATTTGCATTTTGTAACATTTTGCTTTAGTGATACTCAAGGATTGGTTATCTGAGCATGGAAACTAAATTTAAATTGGCTACATCCTGCAAAGGAAGTTCTCTTTGTGAATTGCCGGTTTAAAAATTCCAGATATTGAAATGATATTAAACTCGTATTTTTTTGTAGAATAATAGCTTCTAAGCCTATTGTAAACTTTGGGCTTTGGATTTATTTTTATCATGATCTTTAGCTTTTTTATTTTTATTAATTTGTTGCAATTGTATCATGTCATACCTCTCTGTCTTGCACTTCCTTCCTTGTCTATATTAATAAATATATTTAAATCTGAAATGTGGCTGCTTGCCATCTCATATATAGGATCCGTGCCAGTGCTTCATAATATTTTTTTTAAAAGTTTTTTGGTAAATAATACTTCATAATATTTCATTTATTGCTCAGTGCCCTATCTTATATACCTTATTTACATGCAGTATGTGAGCATGCTTACTCATTATCTCAGAATTTGGACCCTAACAGTGAAGGCCGAGGTGTTTTGCAATTTAAGACTGGTTTGATGTCTGTTATTAAGGTACGATATATATGGTTTGACTTCATTAGTCTTAGATTTAACTTGAAATTTGTGCATTGTTGTCCTGAGAAAAAAGGAGATGAGGAAGCAGAAAGAGGGAGAGGAAGAGAGAGGGAGGAAGGAAGGGGAAAAAGGGGAAGATGTTCAAGATTTGGGAAGGCCTATAATTATTGTTGGTTGATGAATATCAACCGTATCTTTTGCTTGTAGGTTCTCTTGTTCAAATTTGAATTTTTTCTTTACCTTGCGGTATATATTTTGGAAAAAGGTCTATTGTGTTTTTGGAGCTGTTATCAATTTACCAAAATATAAAGAGTTTTGGTGAATGTGTTTGTAGTTGGTTGTGGGTAGAACCTAATGGCATAATGTGATTCATGTAGTTGACTTCACTTAGTGGAATAAGACTTCTTCTTGTTGTTGTTGTATAAATAGAGAGTTTGCTTCAGCAAGTGCCAAATTATTCTATTTATTTAACTTGTAAAAGTCACTTGTGACGTTCATGGCAAGAGGCAGCAACAAATCCAAGGGAAGCCTGCTGTTCTGTATAACCATTTCATTTGTCATTATTTTTATTTTATATTCATTGATTTTCTTAATGCAAGTTTTGTCTCACGTTATCAAAGTTATACTCCAATGTTTCTAGCAGCTATAATTTATATTATCCTGCTCATTTATTAACGTATTTCAGCAAAAGTTGGCTAAGAGAGAAGTTGGAACCATAGATAGAAGTCAGGACATTGCAAAATTACAAGAGTTCTACAAGCGCTATAGGGAGAAGCATAATGTAGACAGGTTACGGGAGGAGGAGATGAAGTTGCGGGAATCTGGTGCTTTTAGTGCAAAGCTTAGCGAGTATGTTTGTGTATTAGCAAAAGTTGCCCATTTAGATGATCTTGTGCTTTCTCTTTCTTCCCCCTCCCCTTTAGACACCAGCACTCCCCAAAGTAAGAAGTTCTATAGTGCAATCTGCTGTGGATGTGATTTATTTTCACAATTTTGTATGGAGAGGACCTCTTTTCCTCTAACTATATTTCTTCATATTGCTCTTTTTCTCTCCAATACATTCTCCTTTTTTACTTAAAAAAGCGATGCTGTTGAATTGGTAAATTTTTTAGGCCAAATAATTAGTAATTTTGATAATTGAGTTTTCAAGCATTTATGCTATAGGTTAGATAGCTGAGCAATGGATAGAGAGCATAGCCAGAAATAATAATGCCGAGTAAATTGAAAAATTGCATGATGAACAAAATATCATTTTGATTGAGGAAATATAATGATGAACCATGAAGGAAAGGAGTTGTAGCTTGAGTTATAGTACTCGTATTTAACTTTGTTGACAGCAAAGGATTTTACCAGTTTTTCAATTATCACCAAGATTGAAGTGGCTTCCATGCAATTATCTGCCAACTCCTTTTTTCACTTAAGTTTCTTTCATGGCCTGGTTTTCATCTTCTGAATATGTGTTGTGTGTATTCCTTTTGAAATTTAAATTCTTTGCTGTTGAATATAGGTTGGAGCGGAAGACATTGAAACGGAAAAGAATATTTGCTAGTTTAAGGGTTTTGGGCATGGTCATTGAACAGCTGTCCACCGAAATTCCTGAAGAGGTTTGCTTCTGTTCTGTTTGACATGTATCATATGAAGATGCAATCCTTTTACATGTGTAATGAATATATATGTTTATTTTTTTTGGGGGGGGGGTTGTAAAAGACGTCATTTTATGGAGTGTTACAGTGATGCTACCTTTAGAAAAGAAGTGGTGATGCTTTTGGAGACTTTGCTTATCATCTTCTTTTATATGAATTATGAATCATGAGTGTTTTGCTTCTTTTAATCCTTCTTTCTTTCTTTCTCTCTCTTTCTCGGTTTTTCATAGTGTTTTAAAATTAGACTGGTCTCCTCCGTGGAGAATGGATTTGTTCATGATTCAGTTTTTCAACTTGAGTGTAATGTGTTTGTGTGATGTTTTCTATGATCTGAATTCTGAAGTTTATCATGTTGCCTTTCATGTGTTCATACTAGTGTCCATACTCCATACTTCATAGGGAGTAAGCTTAACATGTTTTCAGGGTTGATAAGAGAAGGCATTTCTGCTGGAAGCATTTTCTGTAGAAAATTGCTTTTCCTAAGCTACTGTTGTTTGTTATTTGGTGGAGCTTGAGTTTTCATTAATGTTATTAATGATCATCTCTTAACAGATTTTTCTTTTTGTTGCAGCTGAAATCTCTGATGGAATCAGATTCTGCAATGACAGAAGACCTAATTGCTTACAACATTATTCCCTTGGATGCTCCTTCCTTAACAAATACTATTATGTCTTTGCTTGAGGTTAGGGAGTTATTTTGCTTAATATAGAAGTTAGAGACCAGGAATAAAACAATGAGATATATAGAGAGAGAGAGTGACCAGGAAGATAAGCTTGTATTATTGGTCTGTGTACTCTGATATATATAGACATGTCTAGTGTGATTGACATGACCAAATTTCTATACCAATGCTATAGCCATCATTGAACTAACTAATTAATCTAACTCTCATTATTTTCACTAATACTTAGGACTTGATATTTGGAATATTATTGTCTGGATTTTTACCTGAGGAAACATATTGCTAGGTTCAAGCAGCAGTTTCAGCTTTGAAGTACTATAGGGGTTTGCCGGAGTTACCTCGGGGTCATCCAATTCCTGCTGCTAGAGATGCTGATATGCTTGATTTTTTGCAGTGTATCTTTGGATTTCAGGTCAGCATGGGCGAGTTGTCATGCACATTTTTACTGGGATGGATCTCATTTTTAAAACCTTCAATCATTTAGGGTTTGGTGGCAATAAGGGGGCCAAATTTCTTGATATTTGCAATTTTTTTCTGGTATTCTGGTGCGATCAGATGAAGGGGCATGACTGCATTTATTAAGATCTCCCATTTGTCTGTTCAGATGTTTTGTATATATGTATTCAGCTTGGAGTTCAGCTCTTCAAAGTTTATGGTGGTTTCTTTTAAGATAAGGAGGGAGATTAGATATATGGTTGCATGTTCAATTTTACTTTTTAGTAGTTTGTTGTTTTTTTCCTCTCTCCATGATGTTTCTATGTTAGGATTTTTTTTTTTTCCTGTAAGTTGTATAGGTCTAATTTCTTTCAACGCTTGAATTTGTCTGTGTAAACAGCAAATTCTTTCCATTTTTATTTTCCTATTACAATTCTCTGCCCTTTTTTTTTTAAGTACCAATTACCAATACTTTAAATTCTCATGTATGATGATTTTGAGTTGAGAAATTTTTGAAGACATCAGTTGAATTAGGCGGTGAAGATTTGAGTGGAGTTTTTCACAATTGTCATTGTCTCTTCTCTGGTCTTTATTCTTATAATTAATTGTTTAATATAGATGGAACAAAGTCATAATCTGATTCATTTGATCGTGTTCTGATAAGGAGCTATTAGATGCATTGGTAGTATCAATACAAAATCATTCTCTCTCTTGCATTTGATGACGGACATTTGTTTTTTCCAGAAAGATAATGTCTCTAATCAGCGAGAACACTTAGTTCACCTGCTTGCTAATGAGCAGTCTCGGCTTGGAATTCCAGCTGAAACAGAACCTGTAAGTCTCAAAACCTTTTGGGTTTTTTTTTTTTTCGCTGAATGGTCAATAAGTTGTCTTTGTCTTGCTCTTAAATGTTTTTCAAATGTGTCATGAATTATAATTAAAGTAGTTTTATCAAGTAATATAACAAAGGATGCTACATCATTTCCCAGAGATGAAATGTGTAAAGTAGGCTTTCATGACCTTTAGGTTATGTAGGGCTAGGGGGAGGTACTCCTGTTCTACTGCTCAGGGAAGCAATTATTTCATTTAAATATCTGATAAAGTGGAATTGTGCAATCATAAAGTAGTTTCAAAATTACGGTGCATAAGCCTGTTGAATTTGCTTCCATGGATCAGTAGTGTCCTTTTGAGTTTGTGATCGTGCTAAGCAAATGGTTATGTGTGAGGGGTGTCATTGTGTTACTTTCTGCCTTCTACTTCTGGCAGTTTGAGGAGGATTTTACATCCTTTCTTTATGCATTCCTCCTTATTTAAGCTAGCTGTACAAGACGTTCATCCGTTTTGTTCTTGAGGATGTGGCTCTTGTTGTCATTGTTTTTCCCTCCTGTGTTTTCTCTGTTGTATACTTTATAGTGTCTATTGACCCGCAATTGTCTTAGTGTCAACAAAACCAATCAAAGGTCTGGTTGGGTTTATGGAGTCTCTATATCTGTGCTTTGGGTCTATATTTCTTCCCTAGTATTTTTTGCTTATAGTGCCTTTCTTTGAGCTACTGAACTACATCTTTTTTGGATTTTTTTTGGGAGGACATTTTGTCCTTAGTTTTGTGTTTTCTTTTCCTCTCCTTGGCTTTTTTCTTTGTTACTTGAAGCTAGAGCTCAAAGACTGGACAAACTGCAGCCATGTCTCGTGCCTTTTGAGTACTAAACTCTCAATTTCTTTGTTATGAACATTCTGATGACATGATGGCCCAATAGCTTCAGCTGTTCAACAAAAGCCCTTGATTATTTTATTAATATTTTTAACACTTAATATACAACTTGTTCTGGCAAGAAGAAAAAAAAATCTAGCTACGAGATGCTGGAGAGAACCTTTGGATATCTAAAGTTTCTAATCCCTTATTTTAAAAACCTTAAATTAATATGCACCAGAGGAATCAAGAGTAGGCTAAAGGTTATGGCCTCCTCCGCCATTGGTTTTTGTCATTCAATGTCTGATGATCTTTTTTTGCCCCCTTCTTATTTCTTCTTATGATTTACGTCTCTTGCTTCTAGAAACTGGATGAGGCTGCGGTGCAGAACGTATTTGTGAAGTCCCTTGAGAATTACATTAACTGGTGTAGCTATTTAGCTATTCAGCCTGTTTGGAGCAGGTATAAATATTATCAGCTATCTGTGACTGAGCGCTGAATGTAATTTATGGTTTATGATGACTGAGAGTTGAGGATCTGGAATGGCTTTGAGCAGTTTGGATGCTGTTAGCAGAGAGAAGAAATTGCTATACGTCTCTTTATATTACCTAATATGGGGTGAAGCTGCCAATATCAGGTTTCTGCCAGAATGCTTGTGCTACATATTTCACCATGTAAGATAACTGAGCAGACAATCTAAGTCATCTTTCTTTTGGTTGACTCTGAAAAGTTCATGTTAATTAATTTGTTGAGGTTATTAAAGGCCATTTTCATCCTATTATCATTTTTGTAAGCTTTCGTGGATTTTTTACTGTGAAGAAAAGCATTGAATATGCACAAGTTTTTATTCCATATATACGTTGAATTATCCTTCTCTGTAATTGCAATATTGCTCCCAACCTTCAGCGCCTTTGCAGGATGTTGAGTGTTAAACAAACTTTGAAATGATCTTTTAGGAATAGGAATTTGAATAGTATTGAATGCATTGGCTTGGTGTGAGTCTGCTACTTTTAGCCTATTTCATTCTAGCTTGGCAGATTGCTATATCTTCTGCTTCTATTCTTCATGGGTATATTTTGGCTTTAGTTCTACATGTCATGCATTCCTTTTGTTTTGCCTACTAATTGTTCTATCTCTTGTCAACTCTTATCTATAGTATTGGATTTTTACTCATGAATTTGGGTTGCAGATGGCTAGGGAAATGGATGAAATTGTGAGGCAGCAAATTGCACAGCCAGCTAATAGTTGCATTACTCAGGATGGCGTTTCTTTTCTTGATCAAGTTATCTTGCCTCTCTATGGCATTGTTGCTGCAGTAAGTTTCTGCATGTTTTATAATTGTTCTACTAACTTTACAAACAAGTAAAACTAATTGGAGACATAAGAAGTGCTCAGAATTTATGCCAACTTGACCAAAATTTTGACTGTGGACTGTGCTGAAGAGTGAAGAGCTAAAGCAAGAGAGGCTTAGGTTTGATTCTTGTTATATTTTAAAGAACAAAACTGAAAGGCCTCCTGAAACTGAATAGCTGTTGTGGAGAGCACCATTGTATATTCTATTGAGCAGCACATATCAGTCAACGTATGACTTGGGCATTCCCTATAACTTAGATTCCCTTCAATTGGCCAACCAGACTGACATTTCGACAGACACACTCGGTGACACTTATTCTTTTGTTAGTCAGAACTTTTTGTAGGTAGTGCTCTAGATATGCTGACCACTAACTTACAAATGATAGCCACCCAAGTGGGGTGGGTTATGTGGAACTTTTCATTATAAAAGCTAGGTTTTGAGATGGAAAGCTGTTTTACTCAAGTATTTAATTCTGCAGCTGATGCCACCTGATTTGAGACAGCCATTCTCTACTTCTTTAGCCCCTTTCAAGATGATCGAGAACTTTCTAGTGAAATGATATATAGTTTAACAGGGTAGGTTAAAATTTAAAACCTTTTTTCTCAAACGAATAGAATGGGGTTTTTGTCCATGATTTGACATTTTGAGGGGATAATCTTTCAGGATGAAATTAGCATTATCAGGGGAATGGTAACTCCGATTCAGAGTTGCATGTGTACTTTTTAATCATTCCTGTCTTCATTTCCATTTCTACGCTGCCATTTTAATCAATGAAATGTTCATATCAAGTGTTCGGAGGATTGGTGATATGCAAATAGATTGGACAATTTTGTTGTATGCTTAGTTGGGGCATATTGGCTGACTATTTTCTTTTGATATTTCCTTTTTGGGGTGATTGCTTTTTCTATTTATGATGTTCTTTCTTGCCTTTCTTCCCAATGATATATTGCGTTTAGCTATTATTGTGAGATGGGTTCCGACTCGAATTAAGCTAGTTTCTGTCTTTGTTAACTAAAATTGGAATTTGAACTCTCAGCTGTGTGGACTTTCAGGAAGCTGAAAGCAATGGTAATGGGAAGGCGCCTCATTCTGCATGGAGAAATTATGATGATTTTAATGAACATTTCTGGTAAGTACTGTTTGTTGGCTAATGCTAAGACGATCAGTAATTTCTTTTTTTTGATGTCTGATTGGTTCTTGTCTAGGTCCCTCCACTGTTTCAAGCTCGGTTGGCCATGGCGCCTAGGCTCTTCTTTTTTTCAAAAGCCTCCTCTTGGATCAAAGGTTTTAATTTCATGGATGAGTTATACAATCTTTTAATCGCTTAATGATGTATTTTGTTGTTTATTGTCATGTATTGCAAAGGTAAAGGTAGGCAATTCTAGAGTGATAAAATGGTTGGTTTGAAGACTCTAGGCAGTGGGATTTGACAGAAAGATTCTCTATGATATTTGGCTTAGAAACTTGGTCCCTTGAGGCTCTAAATCCTACAATTTATGTGGAAAAGGAGAAAAATAGAAGTAAGCATTACATCATGGAGAGAAATTCTTTGACAGCACCTATAGAAATTGAACCTTTGTAGCTGCTGAAGTTCGTCCTAAAAAAAACGAGCATCATAACTTCATTTTCTTTTGGTGTATATCTTGGTTATGTTATACTTTTTGCCTCTTATGCAGAACCTGGTTAATTCTGGCAGACGTCAGCGACGGGGAAAGACATCTTTTGTGGAGCATCGAACTTTTCTTCATCTCTACCACAGTTTCCATCGATTGTGGATATTCCTTTTTATGATGTTTCAGGTTTGTGATTTCATTTACTTGCCCTCTGCCCTGGCTACTAACTTGGCCAATGGTTGCTCCTCCTTGGCAATTTTTAATTTATGACATTGTTTTTGTTATTCATGCCGGCAGTAATCTATATATTCCAAATCTGTTCTAACTTGATGGCTTATGCATACTTTTCTGGGTGTGGTGTAATTTTTATCTTATTTTCAGGGTCTGACTCTTGTTGCTTTTAATGATGGACTTCTTAACGCCAAGACTCTGCGTGCAGTTCTTAGTCTTGGGCCAACATTTGTTGTGATGAAGTTTCTTGAGAGTATGTGTTTCTATTTTAAACTTATGCTAGTTTATTTTTTCATGAGTTCCTTTATCCTTGATGAATGAAGAACACATAATTACACATAATTGGAAAGGTAAGAATGAGAAGGGTGACGCATGGTGGTGGGGGGGCTTGTTCGAAAAAGCTACAGTCATTGTAGGTTTGCAATAGCCTCTGAATAAAAGGAATGATGAAGTAGTTTCTGATGATTCAAATACATTGAATATAAGGGCTGTAGCTATGCTAGGAATGACACCTAGGACCCGTTTGGTTCAATTACCAAGTGTTTGGAGATAGTAATACAGTGCAGTGCAATGGGATGTAATGCAATATTTATTACCATCAACACATTTGGTATGTTAATAAGGAAACTGGGCAAAATATTACTTTTTTCATTTAACCAAATAAAAATATTAATGAGAAGTCCTAAAAGCCCTTCAATCACAACCACAATCGTCTTCTTCCTCTGCTTTTCCTCTGCTCATGCGCCTCCTCCTACAACTCACGTGTTTAGTCTTACTGCTCCATTTTTATTCCCTTTTTTATTCAGTTTCAAATTTTTAGACCAAGCCTATACTCGCAGCTCACAACCCCCCAAATGCCTCACCCTAATAGAGTACGTAGATCAAATGAAAAATGAAATATTATGGATAAAATTGACATTGGGAGGGCTCGTCAGATATTTTTGCAGTTAATAGTGGGATGATCAAAATAATTTTAAGGAGAAGCAGTAGTTGGGAAAATGCAAAAATTGGTGAGTCGACGCAATTGGGTATTGTTATGATGTGAAATATATATAGGTATAGACGAATTAACCTACTTTTACTTTGTGAGGGAGAAGGAGGATAATGGAGGAAGGGAGATGATAAAGGGGAAGAGAGAGCGGTCAAGGTAACAGAGGGAGGGAGCCTAGAGATCAAGGACAAGGTGTTAGTTGGAGGGACAATCAACGGAGAAATGTTGAGGGCAACTATTGTCCTTTCATGTTAGTTAATAGGGATAAAATGGACATTTTATAAGGAATTGCAGTTCTGCAATGATCATTCATAGGTCCCCCCATATGAATGGATAATACCAAAAAATGTGCAATAGATATTACTATTGCAATCTGTTTTACCATATATCAGCTCAACCAAACAAGCCATGTATGGTAATGGGATAAAGATTACCATTGCAAGGCTGCAATGCGTTTGAACCAAACGGGTCCTTAATGTGCTGGAGACTAGTCACAAAACTTGAGGGATTTATAATTCCTTGATTTTATCCCTAATTCAAGGGTCAAATAATAAAAGCAATAATTACACTAAATCCCAGAATTGATCACAACATAATTGCAACCTCTTAACATATTCATATATGAATATAATTGCAATGGTGAAATAGAAGTTTTTAAACTAAAATGAACACTTGGGCTTTTTTCTCGCCAAAGGGAGTTGCTTTAATGTTTTGCCCCATGTTAGCCTTCTAGTATGTTGATGTTAATGACAAGATGTCAACATCATCTCTTATCTTTATAGGAGGAAGAATTGTTGTGGCCACTATCATATATTGCTTGTGATGCCGCTTCCAGTTGTATTAAAACTTATGATAACATTATTTATGGGCTTTGATTTGCTTTTTTGACCTGAAACAATGCTTGACTTAGTATGAGAGCTTTTGTGATGTGTCATTAGGAGTCTGATCCCTGGTTCTCCTTACCCTTCTATCATAGCTAAGTTTCAACACAAAATGTGGTATGCTTTTGGTTTTTCTATATTTAAGTCCAATAGGTTTTGGTGTGAAGGGTCATATTAGAGATTATAACTAAACTAATCATGGGCTTTGCTTAATTAGTTAAGCTTTTTGGTTAAAATGGTCCTTGGCTAGTAGCTTCTATTTTCTGAAGTGGCAGTTTCTTCATGCAGGTGTTCTGGACATTTTCATGATGTATGGAGCATATACAACAACAAGGCACTTAGCCATTTCCCGAATTTTTCTTAGATTTACATGGTTTGGCGTTGCATCAGTCTTTATAACCTTCCTTTATGTGTACGTCTGCCTTGACATGTGGAACTTTTCATTAGACTAATTTCTTCTAGCTGTTTCTTTCTTCCTTTCTTTTTTAGTATTGTTTTCATGTTTGCAGATTATCTTTCTCTGACGGACTGTATTTGCCTGCAGGAAAGCTCTCCTTGAAGAGAGCCAAGGAAATGGAAATTCAATTGTTTTTAGATTATACGTGATTGTCATAGGGATCTATGCAGGTGTACAAATTTTCATTAGTTTCCTCATGCGAATACCTGCTTGTCATCGTCTGACTAATCAATGTGATCGCTGGCCTTTAATTCGATTTGTAAAGTGGATGCGTCAGGTTCTTAATGCCTTCATTTGTACTCATTCTTAATAAATATATTACTTGTCTAATATTTTGGGGAGTAATGTTTACTGATTGATTTATTGTTTCTTGCCATGTCTTTTGATTGCTGAAGGAGCGATACTATGTTGGACGGGGAATGTATGAAAGGAGTTTTGATTTCATAAAGTATGCACTTTGATCTTTGTTCTTTTGTCTTCCTTCCCCCAGTTATCTGTATTTAGTTTTGTGTGACAATAGAGAGCAAAAAGTAGGGGGAAATAGAAGGAGCTGTACAGAATATGTTGTTGAAATACTTGAGGCCATGTGTAAAAAGAAAAGTGACCGTATGTACTATAGTACCTGTAAGTTTTGTATATGCTAATTCTATTACTAGACAGAGACCCTTATTGCCTTGTGTGGATTTCAATTGACCCTCTTCATAACGAGAAAAAACTTTCTTGAATTCTTAATTTCTCTTAGACGGGTGACTCTTCCTAACCTACTAGATTTCTCTAAATATCGATTGACAATAAAAGAACAAAGAATGTATACATGGGATATTTATATAAGAGAGGAAAACGATGCTAGCTGACAAATTGCTGTGCTAAATGGATTAAATCCTTGATTCTGTGCCTATTTCCTAGGGTCAGCTAATAACTACGTAATCAACTTTCAGCTAGTATAATATCTACAATATCTAACATTAATAGCTGTTAACAAGTCGATTTACCCCTTTTTTGCAGGTATATGCTATTTTGGCTTGTTGTCTTGGGTGCGAAATTCTCATTTGCTTACTTTTTACAGGTGATTTCTGCACATGCATGCATATAGGGGTAAATCTGGGTGTATATTTCTTCGCACATGTATCTGCATTTTTGTTTGCTTACAGGCAAATGAATACATGATTGTGTTTTTCCTTGTTATATATTTATATTTTTTTTTTGAGTTTTTTATTTTATTATTTAATTTTTTTCAGATCAGGCCACTAGTTAAGCCAACAAGGGTGATAGTGGGCATGGATAATCTTGAGTACTCTTGGCATGATCTTGTTTCTAAAAGTAAGTAGTGGGCTAATTGATTACAAGGTGGCAGGATTATGTGTAGTTTTTCTAGGCTCGCCTATCAGAACTTTTGAATATGCTAAAGAGTTATTTGTTACTCATCCATTTGTGAAAGCTTTCAGAGTAGTGAACTCTGAATTATTATTTGATTGAAGCGAGACTCACCAATAAATGGAGGGGAGATAGCTATAAAACTAGTTATTCAATCCCAAAATTAAGACGACAAAAGTTTTGAAATTAAAATCACCAAATCTGTAATATATGATAAGTAGACAGGATGAAGTTAACTACGTGACAACAGAATAAAATCATAACAGAAAATCCTATGATTTCGAACAATTTGCTATAAGCCAGTGAAGTCTTCAAAGGACAAGTAGAGAAACACGAGTTAGTTATGACATTGTGGCTTTGTCTTGATTATTATTTTGGTAATTTAATGTGCATTAATTCTTGCAGATAACCATAATGCTTTGACGGTTCTTAGCTTATGGGCTCCAGTATTTTCTGTAAGTTTAAGGCCTTAATTTTTAACATGCTATGGATACAGTTTTACTGCATTTCTTTGTCCTTTCACTTTCTGCTACACTCTAATGTTTATTGGATTACTTCAATCAAGAGGTTAGTGAGATGGGTGATATAGACCAGTTGAGTCACAAGTATAGGAAACTTGTGTCGTGGTGTGTATTCCTTTTGGTTTTTCTTATTTGATAATGCTGGAATTGTGAATTCTCCTGATGCAATGAAGTTTTCTTTTGGCATACAACGAAGTTTAAATTTGAATCAATGTGGTATATTCTTGGTGAGCTTGCTATTCTTCTGTTGAAAATTGTCATGGGAAAGAATGCTCAGGTTTTTCAATAATTAGTTATTAGTTATTAATAAATATAAAAGCTGTTTCCTGATGATCAAGGCTTCCATGCTTCCTTTTATTGTTTTGCTGATCCATATTTTTTTATCCTTTCTTGGTTTTCTGCTGTTGTTACTTATTCATCTGTCTTGGTGGGTTCAGATGTACCTTCTAGATGTTTATGTGTTCTACGTACTAGCTTCAGCTGTCTGGGGATTCTTGCTTGGGGCAAGAGATCGCTTGGGAGAGGTATATAATATTTTTGGCAATTGTTAAACTGACTGCAACTCCTATGGCTTGACAGTGTGCTCTCGTTATAGTTACATCTATTTCCTTCAACTAGGCTTACTCTTTCAAACAATTGCATATGCAATTTGGTGGTAACTTTTTGGTTCATGCCTGTTTTTGATCACACCAGATTAGATCATTGGAATCCCTACACAAACTTTTTGAGCAGTTTCCTGGAGCTTTTGTGGACACTCTTCACGTTCCTCTTCCTAACAGGTTGCACTTGCAATTGCTTTCTTCAAATGTATAAAATTAACAACTTTGTTGTCTTGTTTGGTTTTTATTTATAATTATACTTCATTGTGAATGTTTGGTTTGGAAGGAGCATAACTGTCCAATGTTTATGCCCTTATTGTTTTATTTTGTTCCCTCTTGATCCATGATTGTTGGCTTGTATTTATTAACATAACTCTTTCTAAACTTCTTTCAGGAGTTCTCGGCGTGCATCTGGTGAGGTAAGTTACTTTTCATTGACAAAAGAATATTAACTATATTCATTTCAATATGATTGTGTGTTGGGTGCAAACAATATTTGGCCAACTTCATTGTAGAAAGTGAGAAACTCTACTCATATAGACAAGAATATTATTGTAAAGGAGTGTTATTTGACTTATCCAAGCTTGAGAACTCTGCATTTACTTGATTGCCTCTGCATCTGAAGGGTGTGGTAAATAACAAGGTTGATGCTGCACGCTTCTCCCCCTTTTGGAATGAAATAATACGAAATCTGAGGGAGGAGGATTATATCACTAACTTGTGAGTGCTGTCACATGCTTTCTACAATCTTTGCCTACCTTAGTTTTTCCCCCCCTGGGGGACACTGTATGCTTCATATTTGTATGTTTTCTGTTAGTTTGATTGATGCCTATATGTGTTTGTTGATTCTTTGCAGAGAAATGGAGTGGCTGTTAATGCCTAAAAATTCTGGGGATCTTCCTTTAGTTCAGTGGCCTCTTTTTCTACTTGCTAGCAAGGTAATTTAGGTCTTTCAATTAAAATAACTAGGAGATTAATTCCGGATGAATGCATGCATCTGTCCTCTTGCTTGTAAACATGATCTTCGTTTTAAATTTTTTCTTTGTTATTGTTATTTAATTAATAAATCTCCTTTACATGATTTGTAGATATTTCTTGCCAAGGATATTGCTGTTGAAAGTAGAGATACTCAAGATGAGCTTTGGGATAGGATTTCAAGGGATGACTATATGAAATATGCTGTTCAGGAGTGTTACTATACCATCAAACTCATATTGACAGAAATATTAGATGAAGTGGGAAGGATGTGGTGAGTGTCATGAAAAGTTGATGCAAATTGAATCATTTACCTTATAAGACGGGAAATATGGTTAATATATCAACTAATTTCTTGGTTATTTTGCAATTGTTGCCATTCTGGCAGGGTTGGAAGGGTATATGATGATATTAATGCAAGTATCACGAAGAAGAGCATTCTTGTGGATTTTCAGCTTAATAAGTTGCCTCTTTTGATATCAAGAGTATCTGCACTTATGGGTATTTTGGTTCGTATCAAGTACTTTAAAGTCATTGCATTGTTTTATGCATTTTGATAGAATGTTTCCAAAAATCATGTAGATGACCAAGGTTTATGCTAGCTTTTTACTATTGACATGTGTTGTGAGTTTATAATCATTACTAACCAAAAAAAAATACAAAATTTAATTAATCAAGGAGAGACGAGTGCTAAAAAGAGGACCAGATATGCTCCACAAACAAAAGAAAATTACAAGGTTTTCTAACAACTTTCCAATTGCTCTGCATTGCCTTGTGCTTCTTAGCTGAATGTAAGCGAGATGTCACTGTTGTTTCCCTTATATTTGATAGGTCTAATTAAATCAGAATCAGTAATCCTATCTTTGTTTCCAAATATTGTTCTTAAGGTGGCATGTTAGTTGTTAGACATGCAATATTCATCATTCCATTTTACGTGAACTCTATGCATGGCCTTTTACAAACATAGTAAGTTCTAGCTATAGGATGCTACCTATATGTATTTTCATTTGCTTTTTTTTTTTTTGAAAATATTTTTTGATTCATGTCATTGTAAAATTACATTATTATATTTTCTTTGTGATTTTTTTTTGGTTTATAATTTGGCTAATAATCTCTTCTCGATGCGCTGCTTTTATGATGAAAGTTTTAATTATCAAATACCCTGTAAAATTTTCATTGATTTGACCCTGTGTAGAAAGAACCAAAAACACCTGAACTTGAAAGGGGTGCAGTTAAGGCTGTTCAGGATCTCTATGATGTCGTGACGCATGATATCCTTTCTATAAACATGAGGTTTGTCACACTTGCTGAGGTTCTTTTGTTTCACTACATCTCCAGTCTCTTTACTGTTCACTTGCTTGTTCATCTAGGGAAAATTATGATGCTTGGAATTTACTGTTGAGAGAAAGGCAAGAGGGTCGTTTGTTTGCAAAGTTGAAATGGCCCAACAATGCTGATTTGGTATGCTTTGCTCATTGTTTCTATTTTGGCATGTGTATCCACTTGTTTTCTGAATTTGGCGACTAAATTTATGTAGAGTGAACAAGTGAAAAGATTGCATTCTCTATTGACCATCCAACATTCTGGTTCAAACATTCCTAAGAATCTTGAGGCTAGACGAAGGCTTGAGTTTTTCACAAATTCTCTTTTCATGAAGTTGCCTGTTGCAAAGCCAGTTAGAGAGATGTTATCTTTCAGGTAAATAGTTTCTCTTCAAGCAACTGGTTCTGCTTGCTGCTTCTGATGTGCTTATCCCTTGCGTTTGTATGCAGTGTTTTCACACCATATTATTCTGAGATTGTGCTTTATAGCATGGCTGAGCTGCTAAAGAAAAATGAAGATGGCATATCAATTCTATTTTATCTTCAGAAGATTTTTCCAGGTAGTTCCCTCATAATTTTGCTGGAATATGATTGCAAGTAGATAGTTTGCGTGATTTAGTGATGCCTTATCTTCATTGGTGACTTGGACTTCATGGTATCATTAATCCTTTGGATTGGCTGATCATGGGATTAAATATTTGACGAAATTGTCATCCATTTTCTTCTGTTCGCTTATTGTGTTTTATGATCTTGCAATTTAATTTTTGAAATTTTGTTGCTAATTTTATGGGATTCAATGGCTGATATCTCATGGTCATGTATCCCTATTTATGTACTTTTGTATTGGAAGAACTCTTGGTGTTTTTAGTAGGTCATAAGAACTCTTCTATTGGAAAGCTCACTTCCGTGAAACATGGGAATGGGCCTTCCATCAATATAATATAGCTAAGGAAGTCCCACTTATTTTGAAAATTAATGGCAAAAATTACCCTACTCTTTATAGTTTTGTTTTTTCTTCCCTCTTTTGGGGTCAGCATACTCTTTATATTTCAAGACTGATTATCTTTTTCATCTATTCATTTTGCAATTTTTATGTTCAAAGATTTGATTTTTGTTTTTTTTGAATCCATACTAATCATGTAAACTGGTTCCATGGAATGCCCATTTCTCTTTACCATTCCAGTTCCTATTATCTTTCTTATTCCCTTGAAAACATTTCCATTGTACCAAATGTACCTTAGTGCAGAATATATCCATTTAGGTCCAACAGGCAGCCCTGAAGTTACATTTGTTTGAATGTGAAATGATTATGTCTTATATCATGTTGGTTTAATTGAGAAAAGCAATCCTTAATAATGAGATATGATGCCCATTATTGGGATTGATCCAAACAGCTTTAAGCCTTTGTCTTCCAGAGCCCAGTAATTTTTGTCCACCCAATCTAGTTCATCTATGGACCATAATGGGCTGGTCTTCTTTGGGGTCAGGATTGCGGTTGATAGAGTTCTTAAATGATGAGATAGAAGGCCCGTTAAATCCTAACAAAAATATTAAGGCCAATAAAATCCCTCTAAAGCATTATTTAAATAGGACACTTTAACGTATTAAATTATGATCCTAATTTAGTCTTAGTCTTGTTCTTGTTTGAGATCTATATATATCTCTATTTCTTATTTGACAAATTATTTATATTAATCTTTTCTAATCTCTTTATATTCTGCATTCCATGGGGATTTTGTTACTTGGTATCGTGAGCTCCCCCCTCCCTCCAACGTTTTTTTTTCTTGGTTTGAAGATATCTTGTCCTTCAATCTATCTCTTTATATAATGAAGTTTTTTGTTTTTTTAAATTTTTTATCAAACTGTAGATGAGTGGAAGAACTTTCTTGCTCGAATTGGACGCGAGGAAGATGCACTTGACTCAGAGCTTTTTGATAATCCTAGAGATATCCTTGAACTGCGCTTTTGGGCATCTTATCGGGGACAAACATTGGCTAGAACTGGTAATGGTTTCGGTTCAAATGCTGAATATAGGGTTTCTTACATCAATGCTGTGAGACATTCCTCCATGTGATGTTAAAATATTTTTCTGGAATGATCTATAGTCTTGTATTTCATGACCCTTCTGCACCTTTGTGTGTTATTTATCCATCTTATTTATTCCATTTGAATTTAAATAAATCTCATTGGATGCGGTGGTTTCTCATGCTAACAACTTATTGCAAATTGAATTCCTTTGTTGATTTTGTTTCACTGTTATATGGTTTAAAATGGCCATAAACTTCATTGAATTTCTTCCCTTTTTATCTGAATCATCTTATACATTGTTGCGCTCCTTTTCTGGTTGTGGAGTGCTGAATTTTGTGATGGTTATTCTTTGTTGTTATGGTTTTATTTCTCATTTTCCCTGTTGTCTCTTCAGTACGTAGTTTTTTAAGTATGTTCGGCTTTTTTGGTTGTAATGTTTGACAATTGAGAATGGTTTCTTGTTAAATGTAAAGAAAGTTTGGCAAGCTTTGATTAATGGTGTGTTTTTTCTTGATTGTTTAGGTTTTCTGTATTGTATTAGTTTCTTTTACCAGGATAGTTGATTCTATGTTCATGCAGTTCTTTCTTTTTCTCACGTGAAATTTCTTATTTAAAAATTACAAATAATAATAAATTGAAGAATTTTCTTGATTAAATTTGATGGATAAGATTGTATAAAGTCTTGGAATTTCTGCAACTCTATTTGGAAAAATTTTGTCCTAATATGCTTAATTATTATTATTATTATTTTTTTTTTGGGGGATCAACAGTCCGAGGAATGATGTACTATAGGAAAGCCCTTATGTTACAGACATATTTGGAGCGGACAACCTCTGGAGGTCAGGGCGTTTGATCTTTTTATTATTGGTCAAGTGATGATATTAGGAATCTAATTTGCTTTTGGTAATGTAGATTTGGAGTCTGGAATTGGCAGCAGTGAAGCGACTGATACACTTGGCTTTGACTTATCACCTGAAGCGCGTGCTCAGGCAGATCTCAAGTTCACTTATGTTGTTACGTGCCAAATTTATGGAAAGCAGAAAGAGGAACAAAAACCTGAGGCTGCTGATATTGCCTTGCTTATGCAAAGGTGTGTTTGGATATTTAAGGGACCAACTTTCATATGTTAGTTTTCTCTTAATTCTCTGTTTGGTAGTGTGGAAGTGAAGGCTGGGAAGTGGAATTGGGGTGGGAAGTGCAAAAAGAGCCCGTTTCTATGGTATAATTGGGTTGGAACCTAGCCCCATCAAAAGTGATGGAACCAGTTCCTTCCTTGCCCCCATGGAACTGGCCCAGCAAATTGGGAAAGAAATTATTCCTGTGATCTACCTCTTAATTCCTAATTGATGCATAAGGTCATATTTGCTTCAATTTACAAAGTAATTGCATAATATTTCTTGCACTTCTAGATATAAAAGTCTAATTCATGAAATTTGTTCATTATGTTAGGCATGAAGCTCTTCGTGTTGCTTTCATTGATGTTGTGGAAACTTTAAATGGTGGGAAAGAATACTACTCAAAGCTCGTGAAGGCTGATGTGAATGGGAAGGACAAGGTGTCATTGATTTCTATCGTTTTCTTCTGTGAATTATCCTTCTTTTCTGGATGCAAATATGATTTTTGCTTGCGCATACAATTAAGGTCTTCCTAACCCAATTTAATCTCTTTCTGGGCATAAAGTTCCCCTGTGGGTTGTTTATTGGAGTCATTGTTAATCCTAAGATAAAATTATTATTTATTGGAGTCATTGTTGATCGTAAGATAAAATTATGTTTGCTAACTACTGATAAGCATAATAATAAAAGAACGTTTGAAGTAACATACTTATAAATATGTGTATATTTCAACAAAATCATTGATTTTGGACTAAAAACCTGTTGGTCTACTGTAACTCATGGAGAATAGTGTTTGGATAATAACTACTGGACGTGAATAAAGGAAAGGATGGAGACCTGGGGCGGCTGATATGTTCGGTGCTATTTGTTCTTTCTGTCCATAAAACTGTTGACCATATGTGAATGGAAAACTGAAATGATGTTATTGCTTTAGATTCAAAGCGGAGAAGGCCAGAAGCTGTTTCCCTTTTTTGGTTTTTTGTTTTGTGATTTTTTGTGGCCAAGTCCAGACCCTTATTTTTTAGGAACCTGTCTTTTTACCAATATCCTCTCACAGAAGAGACGATCTACTTGATGTTTCTGAAACCTAATACTACTTCCGATCCTGAATATAAAAAGCAGTAGACTAATTTGGGGAGATTAAGGAAGTTAAATAAATGCTTTGAAAGTTTTATATTTATCGTTTTTTCCAAAGTAATTTGCTCAGCTCATAAACTGATATATAATCTAATAATGCACATAAGGATTTTACAGAAAGTGGTTGAGAGATATATAAGCTCTTACCTGAAGGCTTTTTCTCTTGCAGGAAATATATTCGATCAAGTTACCTGGAAACCCCAAGCTTGGTGAAGGGAAACCTGAGAATCAAAACCATGCAATTATATTTACTCGTGGAAATGCAATCCAGACAATTGACATGAATCAGGTTCCTATTGAATCTATGTGACTTTTGTGAAAAAGTGTGTTGGATTGATGGTGTTTCATGCTGTCTTAAATTCTTGTTCTGTCCTGCGATCCTTTTTAATTTATAATATTTCTTATTTACTCAAGTGTTTTTGGCTTTTTGATGCTAATCTTCATCATATTTGTGGCTGAAAATGGTTGAGAGACATTATGTTACTTGATAGTGATTTTGTTTATACCAAAGGTCTAAGTTGTGCGACATCGTGTGTATTTATTGTTGCAATTCCTTGTGAGTTTTGATGTTTATTTAAGTGTTATTATAGGATAACTATTTTGAGGAAGCTTTGAAGATGAGGAATCTCCTTGAAGAATTTCATTGCGATCATGGTCTTCGTCCTGCTACCATTCTTGGTGTTAGAGAGCATGTATTTACTGGAGGGTATGTGGAACATGGGTGCTGTAATTTGAGATGTCTTTCTGATTGATTGTTTGCAAATGTTATCAAGTAATTTATTCATTTCTACATGCAGTGTCTCATCTTTGGCCTCATTTATGTCCAACCAAGAAACTAGTTTTGTTACTTTGGGCCAGCGTGTCTTAGCAAATCCTTTGAAGTAAGTCCATTTTCTGTAGCTAGCTGTTTCCCCTTCTGGATGTTGAAAGTAATTGGAGCCAAATTGTGCTAAACTGCTAATCATGATTAGGGTCCGGATGCATTATGGTCATCCAGATGTCTTTGATAGAGTATTTCACATTACCCGTGGTGGCATCAGCAAGGCATCTCGTATCATAAACATTAGTGAAGATATCTTCTCAGGTATGGATGGTTGCTTTGTAAGTCAGGCTTTGGTTCCTTCGACCTTTTGCATCTTAAATCTTGTTAATTTACAGGATTCAATTCAACCTTACGTCAAGGGAATGTTACGCATCATGAATATATTCAGGCAAGGCTTTTTCTTGTATGATGCATCTATTAATAATTGTGATTCTAATAAAGAAGTTTACAGGTTGGTAAGGGAAGGGATGTCGGGCTCAATCAGATTGCTTTATTTGAGGGTAAGGTTGCTGGTGGCAATGGTGAACAAGTTCTCAGTCGTGATGTATATAGACTTGGGCAACTTTTTGATTTCTTCCGGATGATGTCATTTTTCTATACAACTGTTGGTTTCTACTTTTGTACCATGGTAAGCCACATACTAATCATGATTTTTGTCTATCTTGGCTTTTTTGAAGTTCAAAGGAGTTATATTTTATTGTTAACTTATAGTTGGAATTATCTTGGGGTTAAATGTGTATATTGCATGCAATGATATGTGTTATTCTAGTATTTTTTAGCATGCGCGCTTGGATATTCTGTCCTCTCACATCTGAACATGCTATCTGTATTATCTTGCAGTTAACAGTGCTGACCGTGTACTTCTTTCTTTATGGGAAAGCATATCTGGTAAGATGGATTTTTTTTATTGTGATTTTAGATTATTTAGCAGTTCACCATTATTTATGATTTATACATTTTTAATGTGTGTTGATCTCATTGTTACAGTTTTTATACTTATTTCTCTTCTTGAAGCTTTGTTGGGGCGTAGTGTTTGTAGTTCATGCTTTATTCCATAGCCATACTTATGGATGCCCTCAAAGTGGGAGTTCACTCTCATATGAGGTTTTAAGATACTTATGGATTATGGATGCCCTCGAAGTGGGAGATCATCCTCATACGAGGTTTTAAGAACATTTGAAAGCATTGTTGCAAGAACCAGGATGGTCCGCAGGTCTTATCCAACCAAGAACAGTCCATAGTTCATTTTGTATAACTTAACCTAATCACCTGTGTTTACTTACATCTGTCAAGGAACTACTGGACGATCTGGTGTTTGCTGAACCAGTTGACCTAGTATGGTTTGGTCTGATCAAGTTGCTAACCATGGGATGATGGGACTCCTGAGAAGTTATAATGTCATCCACCCATTTTAATGGCTAGTCTTGCAACTTCAAAGGTTAACTAGGGTTTTGACTCAGGCACCTTTAAGATGGCAAGACAAACTCGGTCAATTAACAGTGCTCTGCTGGATCCTCGACTTCACAATATAATATATTTACTAGAAACAATTGAACATCTACATGGCATAATAAATTAGAATGTTTGGTACTTTAGAATTACTGTTCCTCGCAGCTTTATTATTTGTCTCTAACTTTGCACCTTGTCCTCTTGATTTCTTTTATGACTAATTAATAACTCTTTCCCCCCAAACGTCTGATCTTTCAGAAGCTTTTTTGTTTTCAGTGACTTGGCTTAGAGCATGAATTTTATGGGGTAAATGGTAAAAACTATCTTTAATTTACTCAAAAATAATTAAGTGAATCAAATGATTAAAGTAAAACTGTCAGAGATGATGCACAAAGACAAGACCTATTTGCTTATTGTTATATTTTGATGATATTTTATATATAACCATTAAGATGATTATGAAATGTTTAGACAAATACACAAAATTGGATTATGACCCCCTTTTCCTGCTCAACGATTGTTTCAATCTTCAAAACATTGCTTTGGAGTATGTGTTTTTCAATTCCTCATGAAACTTTCCATGTTTTTATTGTTATGAAACTTTGCTTCTGCCTTTTCTACCCTACTCAAGATGCATTTTGCACGTGAGGAGTTATTTCTTGGACCAGTCATTAATAACTTGATTATTTTTAGATAGTAGTAGGTAGAAACAATGCTCACATGAAGATCAAACTATTCCATCAAATTGAGTATGATTGTATGTGTGATAGCTTCTTGGGATTTTTCCCCTTTTTAGAGTTTGAAAAACTTTGAATTTCTTTTTCTCATTGCACTCTTCATGTCTGGACCTTTGCATCATGCGTTGTGTAAGTTCTGGAAATGGTGCTTATTTGTTTTTTTTTTTGTTATATAAGACCAATAGGGACTACGAAGAAAAGGAGAAAAACAGGAGAGAAAAGAGGGATAAAGAGATTGGAAGAACAAGGGGGAAATGAATAAACAGTGATGGATGGAATCATTGATATTTTTAGTTCTTGACTGAGCTGTGTCAAAGTTGACAACTAAGGGTTTACAAAGGAAAATAAAATCACATATTTAAACCAGTCTTGGAAACAGTAACAAATAATATTACCTAATTTAAGTCTTAATTAATTAATGAATTAATTCTTGATGGAAAACAATTATTCATATCATTGAACTTATCACTTAACTGTCCTCAGAAGATGGAGGCTTTCCTGTTCGTTAACTTTAGACGTTTGGTAGGAATAAGGAGTACAAGGTCTTCTAAGTGAGCATTATTTTTCTGTTGTTTTGAGCTTTTATTTTCTGTGGATGGTATCTTTTGCTAGTATTCTTGTCTCTTACATTATGCTTGATTTATGGTCGGTTATTAGTTTGATGATACTTTTCCCTTATACTAGGTTATTTGCTAAGGGTATCTCATCAATACTTAATTACTGCACAATACAACTAAACTGCATCGCACTTAATAAGCACTTTAAATTAGTTGATTATCTAGTATTTAGTTTTTGTATGTACACACACACACGCATATATAATTTGCAGCATTCATTGGATTTCTCGATTCTTGGTATTTTCCTTGGTCTTTTCCTTTCATAACTTCTGCTTCTACTCTCCTAGTTGTTTGCATGCTTTGTGTTTGTTTTAGCTGGGATTTATCTGATATCTAATCAAGGGTGATGTTTCCCCAGGCATTATCTGGTCTTGATGAAGAAATAGAAGAGAGGGCTAGGATAACTAAGAACACTGCCCTGAATGCTGCTTTGAATACACAGTTCCTCTTCCAAATTGGGGTCTTCACTGCCGTACCGATGGTCTTGGGCTTCATCCTGGAAGATGGTTTCCTGAGGGTAAATGTTTGCCTCTAACCCTTTTTTTTTTGGCCCTCAAAGTATACTCGCCAAGAAAAGATCCGGTATTTTATTTTTCTGTGTTTTCATTTAGTGAGTGCTGTACATGCTGAATAAAAATGTAGGCCACGTGTTGGTTAGACTGTGCATCCTGCTACCTTTTTTTAAGGTAGTGAAGGGAGGGTTTGATATGGAAATAATTGATATACTATAAATAAGTAAAGAATCTTCTTGTTACACGTTAGATATGCGTGTGTGTGTGTGTGTGTTATCTTGTGAAAGAAAGCAACTCAATGTGTTATTTCTTTGAAGTTACTTATGCATTTGAGTTGCTGCAGGCCATTGTTAGTTTTGTCACAATGCAGTTTCAGCTCTGCACCGTCTTCTTTACATTTTCCTTGGGTACCAGGACTCATTATTTTGGGCGGACCATTCTTCATGGTGGTGCAAGGGTTTGTTTGCTGACCTGATGCTGTCCCTTTTTTATAGTTGTCTTCCTTTGCTTCAGCTCAAAAAAGTTTGCTTATTTGCTTACAGTATCAAGCAACTGGACGTGGATTTGTTGTCCGCCATATCAAATTTTCAGAGAATTACAGGCTCTACTCTCGCAGTCATTTTGTTAAAGGGTGTGTGTCTCTCACTCATATGATTAATATATAATTCTGATATCAACATGTAGAAATTAGATGGGGGACTTTTGTTCTCCAGCATTCCCTTGCTTACTCTTTGGTTTATTTTTTTATTGCCCAAGATTGTGTCCTTTGAGTCTGAAGAGGCCTCAGGTTACAACCACCTTTATTTTTCGTGGCTTGTGCTTTTAGCCTTGTACTTTGATGGAGACTTAGGTAGTGTAGGTTGTCAAAGTCCTACATTTAGTATGGAATGGTTGATGAAGTATTTAAGCGCGCTGGTTCTCTCATCTCAATATCTAGCCTTTTGGGTATCCCATGCAAGTACCCTGTTTGCAAGGGATTGTGTTTGGGAAGAGGAGCTGCACGGCTCATGGCACATAAATAGTATGACTTCTTTTTACGGAAAGAAAAGGATGAGTATAACCACAAACCCCAGATTTGTCACTGAGGACGTCATGTTGGCAAAAATTGTGAACAGAATTTCCAAACCAACTATGCTCAGACAGAGCATATACGATGGATTGTTTACGAGAAACATTCTTTGTTTAATATAATGTAATTATTGTAGTAAAAAAGTATATCGAGCTGTTAGAATATTACAATTAATTAGAAATTAACCAAAACATTCTTTGTATCCTTCATACTTTCAAGATCAAGGGATAATAATCCTTATATTCATATAAATATTTAAATTTATTTCCTTCATCGAATAGCTCCTAGAATTGCTCCCTCGTGTATATACAGTTATATGCCAATGTTGTGACGATCAAACTAGTCATTGAGTAGTTCATAGAATGGTTGAGTCTTAGCCAACTATTATGGTTGGGTCAACTAGTCGTGATTTTTATTATCATCTTAGATAAACAACAATAGAGAAATTCTTACATACACTGGGTGCACCACCTCACCTATACTCTGACTAATAAAATTATGACAGGTAGAATATTTTTATCTTATGTGTAAGCCTACGTGTAACTCCTCCCTTCTGCTATTATTTTAATTATTTTTTAGAAAAATGTGCTTCTTTTTCTCTCTCTCTCTCTACCCCCACAACAGCTTTATGAGAAACTCCTCCTCCCTCTTACTACCGGCTCCTTCCATTCTTTTGCTTTTTCCCCAACCTCCAAACCCCCCCTCCTTCTCCTCTACCCTGTCCTTTCTATCCCTCTCATTCTTTTGCAAAAACATTTTGTTGACTTTTTGCTTTGTCCTGAACATCTCCACCGGCTGCGTCAGCTCTTGTCTCAGCGTGAGTCGTCCACGGGTAGCCGAATGTCACCGATGGCTTTTGCTTGCGAGAGTTTCTTCGATCTGAAAATAAAGTAGAGAAAGAGGATGCAACTTTGCGTTCGATCTGAAAATATCAAAACGTAAGAGAAATTTGTGCCTGTTAGGGATGTGATGGATGAAAAAGGAGGGGGAATGGGGGTGTGGAGGTTGAGGGAAAGACGAGAGAGATGGGAGGAGCAGGTAGTAAGTAAGAGTGGAGTTTTCATAAAGTTACTGCAGAAGAGAGAGAGTAAAAGAAGCATATGTTTTGAAAAAAATAAGTAAAATAGTAGAGAGGGAGGAGTTACATGTAGGATTACACACATAGGATAAAAGCACTCCATCTGTCATAATTTTATTAGTCAGAGTACAGATGAGGTGGTGTGCCTATATGTAAGAATTTCTCAACAACAATAACAACAACAAAGCTGAAAGAATAAATTTTGTTTAGCATTTAGAATGAAAAAGGGGTTTAAAATTAAAAGATCAGAAAGAAATTCGAAATATAAAGAGACATTTGAAAAATAATAATATATTTTCAATTTATTAAATGTTGGAAAAGAAAAAAAAAGTTTGGAGCTTTTAGGTGCTCCGTAAGTAACTATATTTCCGTAACCTGCAAGAATGTCCTAAATTATTTATATTTCTTAACAGTAACTATTTTCTCATAACTCCTAAATTATTAAAACTTCTTAACATTATATCTTTTGTCTTCAGGTTGGAAGTTGTGCTTTTATTGATAGTATACCTTGCTTATGGATATAATGAAGGCAATGCTGCGTCATACATTCTTCTGACTCTTAGCAGCTGGTTTATGGCCCTATCCTGGTTGTTTGCTCCTTATTTATTTAATCCATCTGGATTTGAGTGGCAAAAGTAAGTATAATCTTTATACAGTTTCAGACTTGTCTGCCATCTTTACTGATTCTTTTTTCTCTCCTATCACTTTAGGGTGGTAGAGGACTTTCGGGACTGGACAAACTGGCTCCTGTACAGAGGTGGAATTGGAGTTAAGGGAGAAGAAAGCTGGGAAGCTTGGTGGGATGAAGAACTGGTATTAAATATTTTACCAATGCACATTAAAAAATGATGCCGTTGTGACATTTTGAATGCTTTTTCCCCTAAAAATCTTTCGAATTCTTGGTTTTCATAGATTATTGCATCTATTTTATCTCTTTAAAAAAAAAAAATTGCTGCATCTACAGGCACATATCAGAACTATCGGTTCAAGAATAGCAGAGACGATCCTTAGTCTAAGATTTTTCATCTTCCAATACGGTATTGTGTACAAACTTCACGTGCAAGGGACAAATACTTCATTGACGGTATTATCTCATATCATTCTTTTTTATCTTCCTAAAGAAATTCTATTCCTCAATGATTTTAATGTACTCTTTACTTTGGGTATGTTGCCAATGGCTCTTTTCCCAGCAGTTGTAGCCGCAGGGGTAACCTTTTGTACCAGTGTATCTTAGGAATTAACTTTTTAAGGTTCAGTCGAAGTCATTAACTTATGCATGCTATGAACTCTTGAGACAGTGGCTTGAGGTGTTTTTGTTGATTAGTTCGGTTTTAGAAGGAATATGTTCAACCATATTTTTTGGTTAATACTTGGTCAACTCACTGCCTTTCTTTTGGCTTTTTTATAGGTTTACGGCCTGTCATGGGCAGTGCTGGCTGTTCTTATACTTCTTTTCAAGGTACTAAAATGCCCTTTTCTGTTTTTAGAACTTATGTTGTTAAACGGTATATCTTGATTTTTTTTTTTTGGGGGGGGGGGTGTCTTGTTGCTCATCAGGTGTTCTCGTTTAGCCAGAAGATATCTGTCAACTTCCAACTTCTGTTGCGTTTTATCCAAGGTCTTTCCTTATTGTTGGTGCTGGCTGGATTAGTTGTGGCAGTCATATTTTCTGATCTTTCTGTATCAGATGTATTTGCTGCTATCTTAGCATTTATTCCTACTGGATGGGGAATTCTTTCGGTGAGTTCTGTTTTTATCTGATCCCTTTATCTCATGGTAATTCTTCCACACACGCCCGCATTTATATACACGCCTGCGTTTTATGAATTAACATGCGGCCTACTAATCCGTACGGTTGATACGTCCATTTTGATCATATTCATTTGCTTACCATCTCCAATCGTACACATTTAAAGACAATACGCATAAATGTATATACATTGGTTTGGATCTAAAGTTGAAATAGAGCTTATTGTGCACCCTTTTGTAGGTAGCTTTTATCTTTCGTGTTCTTACATTGACCAAGACTTCTTCCTGTGTAATATGCTAGATTGCTGTTGCCTGGAAGCCTGTGGTGAAGAATCTAGGACTATGGAAATCCGTACGATCAATTGCACGTCTATATGATGCTGGCATGGGAATGCTCATTTTTATACCAATTGCATTCTTCTCGTGGTTCCCATTTATATCCACATTCCAAACCCGTCTCATGTTCAACCAAGCTTTCAGCCGAGGCCTTGAAATTTCTCTTATCCTTGCCGGAAACAATCCCAATACTGGGATCTAGCCTTACTTATGCTTCATGCCCTTTATTGTCCAAGGATTATGAGATTGTGTTTTTGAGTTGGGAGGGGTAGATTAGTCTTTGCTCCCTTTAGGAAGCTTATTATCTGAATTTTGTAATTTCATCTTTGTGAATATGCATTATCTTTTCTAGTTTCTCAATTTTGTTTTGATATCTAAGTTGTCTTTCTAATTCATGTAGATTCCGACACTGAAAACTTTTGTAGGGTTAGCGACGCGGGCCTGAATTGGTTTGTTATAACTACAGAGACTGCATGGCAAATTCACTGATCCTTGTTGCAAAACTGGGCTAATTTTTTGACGAAGAATTATTCTTAAATACTAAATGTCCAAACAATTGGAAAGTTTAACAACTGATTTAATAAATTAAAATGCCACAAATTTCCTTTCACTGGATATGGTGTTTTTTTGAGTTGACAGAATTTAACTAAGTTATAAAATGATTCATTTTAAATCTTATTTATTTAAACGATGTATCCTCCTAGCCCACGAATTGACAGGATCGTGGATGGGCGCGGAGTCAACAAGATCATGGAACGCGTTGTAATGTTCCATCAAGGACTACCCGTCCCTGCTGGCCAAAAAAAAAAAGGACGAGTCTTCATAGCAAAACCGTTTTTGCCCCCGCAAGTGAAATTGATACTAGGATTTGTAGAATTCGTCAAGATATGGGAAGGACAGAATTTAGTTATTTTATTATCTGGGCCGAATTTTCTCAGTCTCAGATTATATGTTTTATGTAAGTTGAAATGAGTTTTTTAATATTTTAAAAATCACGATTGAAATGTTATTTATAAATTATTTTAAAAGGATTCTATATTAAGTAAACGTAATTTCAAAGCATTATATAGCTTTAAAAATATAGATGATATATCTGTATAAAAAAAAAAGATACAGATGATATATTGCGACACCAAGATAAAGCCACAAAAGGCTTGTTCTTAATATATTTAGTGCTTGTTTGGAGTCTCGTTTGAGTAGCGTTTAAAGAGCTTTTAGGAGCTAAAAGTATTTTTGGCATGTTTATTCGTGTTTGGAATAGTTTGAAAGGTTAAGTACTTATATTAAAATGGCAAGATTAAGGAAGTGTTTGGATAAAAGTATTTTTACGATATACGAAATAAATATGTTGAGGGATTTATTTCAATTTGTAAAAAAATGCTTTTCAGAAGCACTTTTGATGCTTCCCAAACACCTCCTAAGTCAAAAGCTAAAATTTGATATTTATGCCATTGGAAAATAGGAGAGAGAAGGGGGGGAAATGTGGGTCTTGCTTTAAAAAATTTATTATCATGGAGAAAGAAGTTAAGAGAGAATAAATTAATTATTACTTCTCAGATCCTATGTATAAGATAAAAAGAGGAGAAATTTTTTTGCTGTATTTATAAGGAGGAGAGAGAATCATTTCCTCTTAATGTACAATTTTATACTTTATTTATTATTTTTTGACTTTATTTTCTTGATGCATAATTTATATTATATTTTCTTGAAAACTTATTGAATTATAAATGAGAGTTAATAAAGTTTAAATTTTTCTTAGTTTGTTTAAAATATATTGAAAATGACTTATAAAAAAAACCACAAGAGTAATCCTTCTAAACCATAATAGAAGATGTTAGTTAAACTTTTCTCATAAAATAAAAATGTTAGTTAAGTCATTAAATATGTTTTAATTTTTTTGAGTCACATGATTTAGCTATTTGACGCTTACATTTTGAACTAAAAAAAGTATTATTTAATAAATTCATGTATTTTTCTGTTATTTTACAGCTAAACTTGTATTTTTAATAATAATTTAAACAACTTTACTTTTACAAACTGGCTTATTTACAAAGCTAATCTAAATAACTTTTCTACATTTACAAACTAAATTTTATAAAATTTAATCTAAACATAAATTATGTTATCAAATCTAATTTTTTCAAAAGTTAAATTAAAAATAAGTTACTTATTAATCTAAACAGACACTTAATTAGCAATTCTGGGCCAATCACAACTAGCAGGAGGATTAGCTTGTGGGTTTAACATTTTTTGGGATTGATGTTCGCTTCCTTCAAAAAATCATCATTTCTGGTAAATTTATACATCCTCATGGCATCAAATTAACTGTGATGGTCCCCGTATTTGGATTTGAATTCTCTCCACTTTTTTCCCCATCATCTTCTCTTCTGCTACTTTTTTTTCTCTTTCATAACTATTAGATCAAAACTTCAATGATTTAGATTTAATATTTTATGACGTTTTATAAAAATAAATAATAGTTCATCTGTAATAAAAAAATTAAAATTTTTTTGCTCATAATAACAATTTGTAGCTATGAACTGTTCATATTAAATTTTAACAATTTAAATTTATTTATCTATTTTTATAATAATATTTATTTTTATAAAATGTTATAAAATATTAAATCTAAACTATTAGAGTTTTGATCCAATAGTGGAGGAGAAAAGGATGGAAAAAATAGCGGAGAAAATCCAAATCCTTCGTATTCATGGTACAACATATAATTTATTGATGAGAGATCATTACATGCTTTAATCTCTTTATACCAAAAAAGTTGTTACGTCTTCATTTTTAATTTCAGAAAGAACAATTCTGACGTACAGCTTATTCTGAGAATATTTTATTCATCCCTCTCGAAATCGGGTGACGCGTGCCATTGGGCATCTGTAATCGCAGCCGTTGAGTGCTCAAATTGATATCTAACCGTCCATTTCATCCATTGTCCGGTGTCCACGATATATAAGATGCCCTGGCTATACTTCGGCATTCTTCCGCACTATTCACAGAATTGATTCAAGAGATTTCTGCAAGAACGCGAAAGCCCCTCAAAAGTTCGAGTTCAGGATTTTCTATTTCTGAAATTTCCATAGACGAGTAATCTTATTTTGGTCTTGGTCTTCTTGAGGATCAAATCTGAGATTTCCTCGTTCCAAGTCGGACCAAAAGGCTTTAGGGTTTTGATATCTGTTTTCTGCTAAGTTGTTTTTGTCGGTGCTTATTCCGAATAGCCCCTTTTTGGTATTTTGATCTTGAATTTGGTTTCAAATTTGAAGAAACTGACACGGTTTCTTAGCTGTAGGGTTTCGTTGGTATTTGGTTGCGACGATGAATGATCAATCCCAAATTATGATGAATTTGAACCAGATGAGTCAGCCTCAGATGATGAATCAGGTTCAAATGATGAACCAGCCTCAGGTAATCAACAAGTCTCAGATTATAGGTCAGTCTCAGGCGTTGTCTCAGCCTCAGATGCTGATCCACCCTCAAGCATTGAATCAGCAGCCGCAGCCGCAGCCGCAAACACAAATGAAACCATCGCAGATGTTGATGAACCAGACCAAACCTCCGATGATGAATCGGGGCTATAAGGCTTGGTCTCAACAGCCCCCTATGGACCTTAACATGAAGTTTCAGAACGCTATGAAACAAAATTATCCCAACCCCAAGTTGGGACGAAGCAATTGGAAGGGAAAGAAGATGTCGGACAAGCGCAAGGACATAAGAAGAATGGATAAACCTAACCCAAGTGCCTCAACAAGTCAATCCAACAGTGCTGGGTATCAACCACCTACTCTGCATGAATTACAGTCTCAAAATCGTTTAAAAGCCCGAAAGTTTTATCCCAAGAAGAAATTTAATAATCGATTTGCCCCTTATGCCCCGAGAAACACAACATCGTTTCTTATTCGTGCTAAGAAGTCAGGAGGCATTGCTTCACTCGTATCACCCTGTCCTGTAACCCCAGCTGTTCTTCCGACACCTATGTTTTCGCCCTCGAGAGAGGTATTAGGGGATATGGCAAAGGAAGAGTGGGGTGTTGATGGATATGGGTCAATGAAGGGTTTGATTAGGCTTCGATCACCAGGGCATGATGCAGATGTTCACGAGGAAGAGGAAGATGAGGAAGGTGGTGCTGGGTCAAGTGAGAGTGATGTGGAAGAACATGTGGAGGTGGAAAGAAGGTTAGACCATGATTTGAGTCGGTTTGAGATGATATATCCAAATTATGGAGTTGAGTATAACAATGTCTTAGAGAATAGGGTAGATGATCAGGATTCCCATATAGCACAATTGGAGGAGGAGAATTTGACATTGAAGGAGCGTCTTTTCTTAATGGAGAGAGAATTAGGTGATCTGAGGAGGAGGTTACAGTTTCTTGAGAGACAGAACCAAATTGGGGATGATGCCAACGAGGAAGTGGTGGAGAATGGCTCTGATAATGAAAGTGAGGGGGGATCGGATGCCCAAGTTGTGGGAACCGAGGATAACCCAGAGATGGTTGATTATGTGCCAGAGGATGGGAGGCATGAAGACGATGATGCTAATGCTAAGGTAAAAGGTGAGAGAGTATCAGAGACTGAAGGTGTAGGAGATGTTTGTATGGAAGAGATGGTTCCGGATGAGGTGATTGCTGGTAACTGTGAGATGAAGGATGATGTGAGAAATAAGTTTGCAATTGATATGAACTTTGGGAAGGAGGAGCGCAAGGATGAAGAAGCTAGAGAGTGTTGTGTACCAGATGAAGTTATGGCAAAAGAAAATGTTGTAGACCAAAGAAGGAGTGGTGAACTTGAAGAAGTGGTGGGTGAAAAAGAAGAGTTAAGAGCCCAAGAAACAGTCCATGGATGTCTACGGGATAAAATCCTTACTGAGAAGAATGAATGCAAGGATGAGTGAGGATATTGAGACATTCATGGGAACTGATTGACGTGACTTGTCTGGCCCTCGTTTTTCCCTGGGTTGAGAGACATTTGACTCGAGGGCCAAGAGCTTATAAGGCTCTTCTCTCTCTGTCTCTTTTTCTGGGTTGGATTTTTGAAAGATGTTAACAGCGGTAGATAAACTCACAGGTTCTTCACCCATAAAGGCATTAGTAGGTCTTGTATGCGAAATGTTTCCTTGATTTGTATGTAAGTCTAGCGGTCAAGCTGTGTGGATAACTAGTTTCTATCTTGTATTTTGGCTTTCTTGACTATCTTTGGTATTCACCATGTACCTCAATGCTTTTAGTACCTATTAGTATCCGTTATTTTGACGCAGTGCTTAAGCTTAGTACCTATTGGTGTCCGTTGTTTTGACGCGGAAGTTTTGCTAATTTTGTTATTTGATAAAGACGATCTAGCATGAGTTTTTTTTTTCTTTTCTTTTCTTTTTGTGTTACTCTTTTGAGGGAAAATCAGTTTTATTCTATTGAGCCTACTGCTGAGCCTGTTCTATGGCTAATAGCGTGCATTGGCTACTCTTTTGTTGGGTTGACATTGTGGAAATTGTCATGATTCGGGTGAGACCTGCAATAGATTTCTGATCGAACACGCTACCTCTACTTTTCCATTGTCAAACAGGTAACTTGAGTCTTGAGCACCGTCTTGGGCATTTGTGACCCTGTGGCATAAAATTTGCCGCACTGGTTTTGTGTTGCCTTTTTCCTTTTCTTTTTTTTGTTGGGTAGGTTTGAGAATCTAAACAGCAGTATACTTTGATGTTATTGTTGTGCAGTTTAATCTTGCAACATTTTTGTCTGGAATTGCTTGTAGGCTTGACACCAGAATTTGTCGGATGTGTTGATATACAAAAGGGAATGCAGCTGGTCTTTGAGTCAACCGTTTTATAGTTGGACAGTAATTGTGAAGTGACATCTTGGCTTGTTGGCTTGAGTAAATGAGTTGGACCTGTTTTTATTTTAATAAATAAATAAAAAGTGAAAAAAATTACAAGATTAACGTCGACCAGAAAAATCGGTCGTTTAAAGTACTTATCAAATTGCAGGTGTTTCCAGAAGGAGTACGCTGTTCTGTTCCCGGGGATGGAACTTGGCTCTTGATCTCCCTGCTTTCCTGTAGAACTTGCTAGTCTCCGGGTCTTAAGCAAGTGAGTTGTATTTTAGTAGTTGACAATCACCCCGCTACAATCGCGTCATCATTGTCGGTTTTTATGTTGTTTAATTGAACTTCGATTCTTTTACTTATTATGAAGCAATGAAGCATATGGTATATGCATCGTGATTTGCGACTCAAAATAATACGTATAATTAAACCACGGACGCTGCCGTTTATTTATTTATTTCTTTTTTGGGCTTCCATGAGACCATGAGCGAACTCTAATTATGAAAAGGTGAAAGTTTGTCTTCGGTTCGGGGGCAAAAAAAAAAAAAAGAGGTGAACGTTGTGTGGCCCAAAAGCCTGGCTTTGATACCTCACCTTCTGGTAATCAATAGTGTATCTAAAGAGAATTTTAAATGTCTAATACAACTCTTGATGAAGTACATGTTTTTTTTTTAATATCCTCACGTAAACTACGCTTTATAATAATTTTTTAGAAGAAGACAGAAGTTGATGAAAAATCACTAATTGTACACCTGATAAAGGATATAGGGAAAATGCATCAAAATTCAAAAATCGTGTTAGATAGTAGTATTTCTATGAAGACTTGTATCATCTTGTGGTGTGCGGACAAACTTCGTTATATCACATCAATCTGCGTGATTTCCAGGTTAACAGAGCAATTTCAATTTTAATTTAAAAATTATATAGAAAAGAAATGAAATTGTGAAAACAACCTTCTTTTTTGAAAAATAAAAAATAAAAACGGAACTTACGATAGCGGGAAAAAAAAAGGAATTTACGAGTTGGAGTGTCTGGGATGGTTTATCACACTATTCTTATGGGCATTTGTTACCGTGCGATTCGTGCCTGCAATTGACGATCAAAATAAAGAATTACTCGTTCCCGCCAATTGTTAGCGGGATGCCACGTGTCTCATTCCATCGCCAAGCTCAAAACTGTGAGCCACATAATATCAAACAGAACCAAAGCTCCCTCACTCACTCGTTGCCCCTCCTCTTCTCCGATGGCTGTCAAAGTCGCAGGCTTTCATATTTCCCCAAATTCTGCATTTTCACTCCCTCCATCTTCCGTTCCTCTCCCTTCTCCCAACCATCTTATTATCAAATCCTCTCTTATTCCCAGAGACAGGTTCGTTGTTCGCTCTTCTCAAGTTCAACAGCAAGAAGAACAGATCCCCTTCACAGAACCTGAAAGCTCACTCATTGATGCCCTTATTGGTATTCAAGGACGAGGGCGTTCTGCTTCTCCTCAGCAGCTCGATGTATGTTCTAACCAATTAATCAGTTAGAATTAAATATTTAACTTGTTTTCTATTGGATTCTATTCATCTTGCAGGCCGTCCAGCGGGCAGTGCAGGTCCTCGAAGGTTCAGACGGTGTGCCCGATCCGGTTTGTGTTCAATTTAGCTGTTATTACTTATCTGTGTGTACTATCGTGTTTTGCCTTCGTGGATTTGTAAAACAACTGTCTTGTTTATTCTGAGGATCAAGTGTAGGTAATCCTTATCGCTTGTTAGTCGTCTGGGTCGTTTCGAAGCGCGCTTCAGTTAGACACTTATCATCGATTAATGTTATTATGTGCCTTCACAAATAGGTGCTTGGGTGCTTACTAAGATATTACATTGTAAATAAGGTTGCATTTTATATATATATATATATATATATATATATATTTGTTTCTGAGTACTCCCAAACCTAACAAATTTTGCAGACAAACTCCGGTTTAATTGAAGGCCGATGGCAACTAATGTTCACCACGAGACCAGGAACAGCATCTCCAATTCAGGTTCCGTATTGGTTGCGTTTTCCTGAGATATTCTAATCAGATATATGTATATATGATTTAAACATACTATATCTTGGAACACAGACCCCCCCCCCCCCGGCGCCAACACTTGGAACACCGACTTTATAAGAACAACTTTATTCGTTGGTTATAAGTTGATATTTTACACGACAGAGCTAATAAAGGTATGCCTCACCATTTATGGTTTTCTATGTCATTCTTTCAGAGAACATTTGTTGGGTTGACTTTTTTAGCGTATTTCAAGAGGTTTATCTTCGAACAAGTGATCCACGGGTATCCAATATTGTAAAATTCTCTGATGCCATAGGTGAGCTTAAAGTGGAGGTAATGCCAAATAACATCAATTGATGTTCTTTTGTAGTTCGATTTACTGAGCAAGGAAGAAAAAAAATACCAGGATAAATATAACTCTTATTACATGATCATATCCAACGAGATTCTTTCAAATACATAAAGACGTTATAATTATTTTTCATTATTGGTATAAGTTTGGAATACATTAAGATGCCTATTAAGATAGGGCTATCATGCACTCTTTTGTTTCCCCCCCTCTTTTTACCTGTTGCAAGCACCCTTTGCCCTTTTCTTCTTAAATGGACTCGAGTCTTGACACCCAACGATAGGCCACTCTGTCAAGTGATTGTTTGAATATTATTTTAAATTTTGTACCATCTTGTCTGGTTAAACATCTTCCAGTCCAAATCCCTCTCCCAGTTTATCTGTCTGTCAGTATTTCTTCCAACACCCCCTCTCCCTGCCTGCCTGCCTCCCTCCCTCCCTCCCTCCCTCCTCCTCCAATTTATCTAGATTGGCTTTGCAGCGTTGTTTCTACTTAAATGTTCATTTTCTCCATGTTTCTCAATATCGATGGTTAATATAGATGGCTATTAAGCATTGCCCCTTTATTCCTAATATGGTGATTGAATTTGCAACTTGTGTTCTTGCTTATTGATATCTGTGTGATCTATTTATATTCCTACGTTTATGCAGGCTGCCGCTTCAATTGAAAATGGGAAAAGAATCCTCTTTAAGTTTGATAGAGCAGCCTTTTCTTTTAAATTTCTTCCATTTAAGGTACCATATCCAGTCCCATTTAAGCTACTTGGAGATGAAGCAAAGGGTTGGTTAGATACCACCTACTTGTCCCATTCAGGAAATCTCCGTATCTCAAGAGGAAATAAGGTGATTAGGCATTCTGAAGAGAAACGTTGCAGTTTTTTTATCCCTTTGAGTAAATATTTTCCTGTCTGGTACAGGACAAAGTATCTTTAACTACACTTTATGTCTCTAAGCACTGTTAGCAACATATACGTAGTGCAGGGAACTACATTTGTGTTGCAGAAGAACACTGAACCTAGGCAGAGGTTATTATCAGCCATTTCCTCTGGGCTAGGCGTTCAAGAGGCAAGAGTGTGCGTGGGTGGTTCAGGTTGAAATGTTTATTTGTTGATGCTCTACTGCGATTGTTGTAATTTTCAATTCCCAAATTTCAACAGGCAATAGATGAGCTTATTTCTTTTAGTCAAACTACTCGTAATGAGGAAACAGAATTGCAAGAAGGAGAGTGGTTGATGATATGGAGTTCACAGGTAGCGTTCTGATGTCTAAAGGAGGAGCATCCATCTACTGCGTAGTTGTGCAACTCAGTTTCTTTCTCTTTCTTTCATATTTTTCCTTAAATCAATATGTTGTTCCTATTGTCTTCAACTCCAACTCAAGTTTAAGGTGTAAGTTGGAAGTGTGGATTATAAGATGCAACATGACAAGGACTGTGACTATGAAATCAATTGTAAAACAAAATCTCAATATACTGAGTTCTTATAAGGTGCAATTTAGAGCATCTTGTCTGCATACAAATTTTTTAGCAGCTATTTTCGCGTTCATATTCTGTTGATATGCTTGTGAATTGACACACCTTGTCATGTTGCATTTTAATAATTTTATCACTGTAATTAATAATAGCCTTACTGTATTTGGTGTTGCTCCGTCAATTATGTCATGTGTTCTTGTTCTTTTTATTTTGTTAAGATTCTTAAATATGGGTATAAGGAGAGAGTAAACTGAAGATACATAAGTGATGGAATTAGAAGTCAGGCTCAACCTAATAATAGCTTGAGTTTTTGCCTTCTATTCTTTCTGTGTATATTTGGGCCTGCCGAGGAGCATACGAATGTACCATGTTTTTAGGATGGAATCATAGGTGACTATGTTTCGTTTTATAATCAGAGTTATAGTGAAACAAGAAGTTGAGGACCCAGTTATGTAAGAAAATAGAAACCATTTGAGAGCTTTCAGTGAGAACAATTCTAGTTGCTCATTGCCCTTTGGAAGATCCTCAACTATTGTCAATGGTTTTAATGTTTAAAGCTAATTGAAATATAATTTCTTTTAATTTTTCTTTATACTTCAACTGATAACAATTAATAACACCTTTCTACTGCAGAATGAGACAGATAGCTGGTTAGAGAATGCTGCCAATGGTCTTATGGGCAAGCAGGTAGTCAGTTACTCCTTATATTATTACCTTTCTCTGATTGCCATAACTTCTACAATCTGCACGTTACTGTGATTGTCAGATTATCAGGAATAATGGACGGATCAAGTTTGTCGTCAACATCTTGCCTGGATTCAAGTTCTCTATGAACGGAAATTATAAGTGAGTTTCACCAAATGCTTATGTAATCTTATGGTGAAATTAAAGTCAACCACCATGAATAAAAATGTTGTTTGCTTCAATAATATTCTTGTTTGGTTGAACAGTTGTTGATAGTTGGTTAAAAAAGGAGCTGTTTATAAAATTGAAGTACGTTTAGGGCTTTATTGAATGAGGTATCCAGAGATAAAAATGAGTTGAAGGAAGTTGTTGAAAATGACCTTTTGGTGAATAATATATCGTTGGCTATTAATAGTACACAATGGCATAATGCGTTTTATATAGCCGACCTTACTTAGCAGAATGAGAACATGACATGTTGTTGTTTTGCTTTCACCTTAAAAATATGAACAAAATTGTCCTCCATATATTTCAATTGTTTAGACCTACTATTTAATTCATCCGTAGCTGAAGAAATGAATAACTTGACCCGTTCTTTTAATGTCTTTCTGAACAAATAATCAAAAACCAATTTTCTTATATCATGATTGTCCAAATTTGGCAGCAAGTCTGGCTCCAAAATGTATGAAGTTACAATGGACGATGCAGCTATAATTGGTGGTCCATTTGGATATCCCGTAGGATTGGAGACTAGGTTCGTCCTGGAGCTTCTGTAAGATGACATGTCTCAGATATCATATCCGTCTTTCATAATTCATCCGTTCTATATGTTTAATTTGCAAATGAAGTAGTAATTTATGTATGCTCTATCCCTATGAAAGAAGAGAGTATATGTTCATTATTAAGTTTTCTATTGCAGATATAACGATGAGAAGATCAGAATTAGCCGAGGGTTCAAGAAATTCCTTTTCGTGCACATACGCGTAGATGGATCAACTGGCAATTGAATTAAGAAAAGAGCTAACTGAACGTAATGATCATTTTTTAAATATTTCCCATAGTATATAACAAAACATGCATTTGATCCTTGGAGAAACCATTTTGAGGCTGATTGTCAATTTGTCAGTTAAAGATCTGAGACCACTTGTGTATTTATGAGGACTGCAGATCGTTACAGGTCAAATACATGACATGGAATGTTCAATTCTGGAGTTTTAATGCTACAACCCGTTTGGGGTTTACAAAAGATTGGATTTCTTTTCTAAGTTTACTCTTATCTTTTTGCAGCGACTCTGGTTTCATGAATCTGATACCTAAATGGTCGGATTAATTAATATTTATTTTTATGAAGAATATCTCTTCCCGCATGTGAGATCTCAAATTGGATTGCCCATATGCTTTCACTTGATTTGCTGAAAGTGGTACTTGTGGGAAATAATCTACTGAAAGTGGGCCTGCCCAATAGGAAGAGAATGGCCAACACGAGAAGAATCAAACTTACTATCTTGGATAAAGAAAGACAAGATTCTAGCGTCATGCTTTACACTCGTACAGTGATGAGTTGAGTAATGAAATTAATTGTTATCCATTGTAAAAGTCAGAAGGAACTCTAATGGACTCTGATATAATAAAGTTTGGTACCAAAACTGCTAGAGGACGAAGCACCATATGCATCAAACATTATATATCAACCAAATCCTCTTTAATTAACAACCCTCAAATGATCTTGCTTATTAAATGCGTGCACAACTCGAACTTCTTCCTCCCACAAGTGGTAGCTAACTGGATATGCATCTCTAATTTTCTAATACCTGTAGTGCTTCTGAATGTGTCATCATTCATGACTCAAAAACTGAACGTGCGTTACACACTTTAATAAACTACAAAGGCATCGCACTATCATACATAAATATGAATTCGTCGACACAGAAAGCTGTGGATTTTTACATTTTTGCAGTCAAACTTGCAGCCGCCAGCACTAATCAGAGAGTGGGGAAAAGATTAAAAAGACAAGTCGTGTTATAATGGGATGTATGATTGTTATATCTCTAGTGATATTGGCTATAAATTAAGCCTTTTGGGTTTTCTCCATGCATCGTTGCCTCTATTGCATGCTTGCTTGTGTTGTAAACCACCAACCTGACAATGAAGAGGACAAGTTTCTCTAACGCTTATTTCTGGCTTATCAATATGTTTATGCTGTGTTTGGCAGTGAAGTCCCAACTGACAACTGATTTTTACGCATCATCTTGTCCAAACCTTTTGAAAATCGTTAGGAAAGAGGTTAGAAATGCTCTCATGAATGAGATCAGAATGGGGGCATCATTGCTTCGTCTTCACTTCCATGATTGCTTTGTGAACGTAAGTTTTTCATTTCAAGTCGAAATTTCACTGTTTTGTTATATACTGGTGTTAAGTTCAACATTCTTGCTATAATCTTCAGGGTTGTGATGGATCAGTACTACTAGATGGAGGTAGTGGTAGTGAGAAGTCTGCTCTTCCAAATGCGAATTCTCTCAGGGGATTTGATGTTATAGACACAATCAAATCTTCAGTGGAAAGTGCATGCAATGGCACTGTTTCCTGTGCTGATATATTAGCCATCGCTGCTAGAGATTCTGTCGTCCTTGTAATTCTCCAATTCACAGCCCACTTTTTCACTTACAATAAAAATTTTAATTATTATGAATGAAGATTGTATATTCAACCATAAGTTCATAATCGTAATGATTTACTGTTCTTTAATTTGTAGAGTGGTGGCCCCTTTTGGAAAGTTTTACTTGGACGGAGAGATGGATCAATCTCTAATGGGACATTGGCTAATTCAGCTATTCCTTCTCCCTTTGATTCCTTGATATTATCATTTCCAAGTCACTAACGCAGGCCTCAATCTGCTCTCTGATGTTGTTTCTTTATCAGGTATGCATAGACACGAAACGTGATTAAGGAAAAACTGCTTTAATTATGCATTTTAGATGTCTCCTAAAGGGGGAAAAAATTGAATTTAAACTATTCAATATGATAACTAATGTTAAGTATTGAATGAATATGCAAACAGGTGCTCATACCTTTGGGAGAGCAAGGTGTGCATTGTTCAGCAATAGATTGTTCAACTTCTCAGGAACAGGAGTACCAGACAGTACACTGGACACAGACATGCTCTCAGATCTTCAGAAGTTGTGTCCTCAAAATGGAGATGGAAACACAACCAGTGTTTTTGATAGGAACTCACAGGATCTATTTGACAACCATTATTTTCAGAATTTGATGAGTGGAAAGGGCCTCCTTAGTTCTGATCAAATTCTATTCTCAAGTGATGCAGCCAATTCAACAACCAAACCTTTGGTTCAGACTTACAGTAACAACGCTTCACTTTTCTTTCAAGACTTTGTGAATTCCATGATTAGAATGGGCAATATCAATCCAAAAACTGGCTCTAATGGAGAGATTAGGAAGAATTGTAGGGTCACAAACTCATAGTGACTTGTCAATAAAGTGTCCTTGTGAGATGGTGGATAAATGTTGTAGTATGCATAAATAAATACAGGTTACTTGATCTCCCAAACCCCTGATATTGCTATGTTCAAAAAGTGACTGTATTTGGGAATGAATTATGTCGTTTTTAACGTGTTGCATCTCATATAATTTCAAAAAGTGACTGTATTTGGGAACTAATTTTGTTGTTTTTATGTGTTGATCTTATATAATTTGAGAGTAAATTCAAGTAATCAAAGAACACTTGGTCTAACCAACAAGTGTTGGGCATAGTGGTTAGCGGCTGACGCTCCTAAGGTGAGAACTTGTGTTCGATCCTTGGAGCCCACTGTAGATAGAGGGTGATACCCTGGCACAAAGTGCTATAGGATATGCTTCACATAACCTTGACTCCGGATTATTCAGTTGCTCGGGTTTACGTGACCCAATGAAAAGTCAGAATCCAGAAAAAGCGTGGGATATTGAGGGACAGGGGGGCCAAAGACCCCAAAATCACCTTAGTCATCAAAAAAAAAAAAATAGAGTACTTGGTCTATAGGTAGATACATTCTGAGCAAAGCCTTAATAGAAAAGGCATCGAACATTGAGTGATTCAAAGGTTATTGAAAAAAACAGAGAGTAACTTCAAGCATAATATCCAAAACATTGGGAAAAATAATATATAAAATAGAGAAATGTCTTGTCTAGCATCTGCCATAATAATTATTGACCTTAAACACTATAAATTTTTTAACAATTTATACATACAGTTAGAACAATCCTCTCCACCATCATGATTGAAAAAAAAAAACACTGCAAATTTCACACACATTTCCACGAACTGATTAAAAAAATTAAGGCTTTTTTAAGTTTTAACCAACCCATATGATTCAACTTAATATTAATAAAAATATATGAAATTTATGAGTCACCCGCGAACAGAATCTTTACATCGATACATAGGATTTACCACAACCCTATGAGTTATAAGTCAAACTTTTATTAATTGAATATAATTCCCCCTAGATTAATTGAACACCGTATTTAGCGGTGAATTGGCTATAAGTGGGCTGAGCTCATACACTTTAACTCAATGAAGCCCACCTATGAGGGAGCCCATGGACACATGGGCTCATGATGCCGAGAGATGTGGACTGGGCTTATACACTAACCGCTCGCTGAACCCACCCAACTAGGTGACGGATCTAGAAGCTAACCCGTGGGGGCCACACTGTTGAAAAGAAATTTTTGCAACGTGTTTGCACCGATGGGTCAGTCCGATCCATCCCCCGCCCCTCAGTTTCCTTAACTTCTGAACCCTTTTTTGGGGCCCCAAAAAAGCAATAATATTTGTGACCGATCAGTCCAAAAATTCCAACTTAGCGTTGAATTAGTGAACAAAATTAAGCCGTCGTTAATAAAAAGTGATCAAAATACATACATACAATTCTGATTGGGAATTGGCATAATAATTATCTACAATTTTTATAATTGGGTTAAAGGGTATTTTTATTCTTCAACTGTTCGTTCAAAAATATAAGAGTGTGTTTGGTATGAGGGATTTGGAGGGGAGGGGAGAGGAGGGAGGGGGAAGGATTTTAATCATTTCTTCTTGTTTGGCAAAACACAAATTTTAGGAGGGGAAGAAAAATTTTAAAAAATTTCTCCTCCCCTGCCTCCAAAATTAGGAGGATTTGGAGGGAAAGAGTAATATTTTGCCATGTTATGATTATTATACCCATATTTTGTCATGTGATGACTATTATGCCCATATCTTAAATAAAAAAAGGCAAAATTGTCCGTGCAAAATTGTCCATGTTAAAATATTTTTCCCTCCCCTCTCCTCATGTATCAAACAAGGTAATATTAAAATCCTCCCCTCTTTTCCTTTTTTATAAATCCAAAAAAAGTTATTAAAATCTTTGCACTTCCTCTCCTCCTCTTTCCTTCATTAAAATCCCTCATCTCCCTTCCTCTTATTGAGCCAAACAAACCTTTAGAATGTTTTCTAATAAAACGTCAAGAATTGCTCCATTGTTAAATGTTTGAGGACATTACCTTAATTTATAATCAGATATTTTCAAGACAATAGTAAAAAAAAATAAAAATGCTCTTCAGCCATTTATAACTTGGTAAAAAGTTGACTTACCGGCAATAAAATTAAGTTAAACTTCAAACAACGGTAATTACGTTGCGAATATTACATCATACCTCGTGACAAATTGGAAAGAAGAATTCACCGATTTCAGGGGTGGGGTGAAACGAATTTGGAGTTGCCCAAACAAATCGAAAAGCTTAAACGATCCATAGCCGCTAATTCAAGAGAGATTCAACATTTAAAAGAAAAATCCCTAGATTTTGTGTGTTTTGTAATTGGTTTGATAGTCTTTCGTTGACTTCTACAAACCATAGATCACTGGTTTGTGGAACCTTTGTTAGTTGTTGCTTTATTCAAGTGACAAAAGAATAAAATAAAAAATTAAGTAACTAGTATTATTGCTCCCAACTCCCAAGAGTTATTATAATTTAAAGTGATGCCAAAATTATTATGTCTAGAAATCCCCATCTTGGTTCACATTTTTCTTTACTTAAATTATTTGTATTTTCTGCTGTAGCCAAAAAATAACTGTTACTGTTTTTTTTGTTGATGAAAAACACAATATTTCTGGAGAATTGAATTTATTAAACCGGACCAAGAATGATAAGCATGATGAGAGTGGTAATGATTTTAATATATAGAAATTAAGTAAAAAGTGCGCTTAAGAAAAATTTTCTTCATTTTTTTTTTCATTAGCAACTTTCCAGAATGGCCATGATGTCACGCAGGAGCAGATTAGTAAGTAGAACGTGGTTTTCAGGTAGAGAGGATAATATATTTAACACTTTATTTTCAATTGTTCAATGCTAATTGGCCACGTCATCTTCTATGTACATTCATACCAATCTTAAATGACCCAGATAACATATACAATTGGTCGTGGCGTCTCATGCTTCAGTTCTATAATCGCCCACAAGAAAAATAACATGTTCTCAAATTAAATTCTTATTCATTCTTATCGTCATAATAAAACTTGTGTAATTAAATCATCAGCCTCTGATTTATTTCGACTTTAAAATTTATGTGGAGATCACATGCAGCCTGTAACATGACGAAGGCAAAGGTTCATGCATCGATTCTAAGTTAAAGATTGATTCTTTTTCCCCCATAACAAACAAATGTTCTTTTGAGATAAAAGAGGTAAGAGGTACAGAGAAGGGAGACAACGTAACACGGAATAATAAGAAAAAAAAATTAAAGGATAATCTCACATATATAATTTAATTTAATCACTAAAAAGTTCATTGAATCGCCATGACGTGTTATTTCCTACACCAGATCTTGTTATTGCCATTATGCCTTCACTAGTCATGTGATTTTTTTAGTGGTAATTGCTTACATGATGGGAGTGCTCAATCATCTCCATCTCCTTATTATGGTGTGGTAACTTACTAGTTTTCTCTCCAAAGGACAAGAAGATGAAGCATAATGTGGGGCGATAATTGTAGAATATTCTTGGAGGAGAAAAGGTTCAGGAATCGAACAAGAGAAGTTAGTGGGGAGGGCAAAAGAGAAAGGAAGAAGTTGTTCAATCAATTGCTAGGAGCGGTTGCAACAGACAAGACTTGTTTCTTTTTCCTTCTTAACTGGTGTTGTGGTGCTCACATTGTGCGCCTACAATTCCATATTTTATTACTGGCCTTCTCTCGTGAGTCTCCAAACAAAAGCCTACCATTTTGAAAATTGAAACAAAAAAAAAAAAATTCTCAAAAAAGAAAGTATGCAACGAAAGCTCATACCTGCTCTATAAACCAACAATAAGGTTGAGACAGAACAAGGCAAATTAGAGAGAGTAGTGAATGATGACGCTGGCAAGCCAAAACACATCTTTATCTCTAACTGCCAGACCTGGCTAGTTGCAAATTCCGCATCCAATCCTCAGTTCTGAAAAGAGATGACGTGTCAATAGATGCATTCTATAATGTAAATGTACATAATCGCACGCGCACACATTCTGGTTTTTTATCAGTGGTTTCAGGTATAGTCCACAGGAACAGATAAAGAAAACTTACCTTGTTATGGGGAACAGTTATCAGCTAACTAAACCAACATTCAGAAACAAGCCCTCTTGTCGCATTGTTACTTAGGCAGGACCATGTGCGCCATCCATAAACTAGTTGAAAAGAACATTATTAAAAAGTCGTACCAGACAATAAACTGCTGGTAATAAGTGCAATAAAATGTGGCCTATGGAGAATCTGTCCCTCACACACAGGCCCTTAAAATGGTATTCTTTTCATTGGAATGGTCATACCAGGGGCTTTGAACAAAGCACGTAACTTCAAGTTAGAGCAATGAATCTCAAGTAATGGTGCAATTCTAATAATTGCACACTCCTATGCACTTCCTTTTCACCCTTTATTTTTGTGTCCGTAACCATAAGATGAGTTGTTTAAGACAGGTGTCTCCCAGATGATCTCAAAAGACATTGAGCTGTTTCAACAAAAAGAAGTTCAACAAGTCATATCTGTGCTGTGCTCATGCGCTTTTAGCCATTTGTTTAATACTACTCCTATGAGAGGTAGCCTTGACATACATCATCAGGCTATCTCAAAGAAATTTTAAATAATATCCTGCTTTAAAATCCTTAATTAATTTGTACATGATAATATAGATAATCAACCTCTGCTAGCTGCACTGTTAAGGAATCATTAATAAATGCATCTTATGAAGTTACCTACCACATATCTGGTGATTACAATTTAAAGAGTCATCGCAGTTAGTTCAAAACTGATTCTAATACTGTAAATCACAAGGCTTTACCATGATTTAGTAACAAAAGAAAGGATGTATATACACAAATAATGTGTCAAAGGTCAACAGGTTTTCCACATTAAATTATATTTTGCATGACTGGGGGAGAGAGAGTATAACCTATGCGTGTTCAACGAAATCACATGACCATTGATGAGAAAAGAGAATAATACCCAATAAAATAAAAAAAATATAAACATGAAGTCTGAGATTGTTGTAGTTGCTGCCATGAAACGAATGTCAGTTCATCTATGCATTGAATTGAACCCAATAAGACAGCTAATCCAAGGCTTGAGCTGTCCTCTTCTGATTGGTTGTGACGGAAAATTAGAATATGGCATGCAAGCATGAATTCTGGGGCAAACGGAATCTTAATTATTTCAAAAGAAATAGATCTGAATGTAGCGGTAACTTGGCCTTGTGAACACAAAGTAGGTTCCTCTAATATTCTAATGAGGTAAAAAAACAGACACAGTCGGAATGAGGTGTGCAGGGCAAATATATATATATATATTTATATATATGGCATGGCGCTTTCATTTGCATCATTTCTATATATCTTTTCCCTGGCGATTTAACTCACTGAAGAATCCATATGGATCACAAGTTTCCCAAGATGGAAATCTCCAAGCAAAAGGAATTTTCAACTTGCTTTAAAGAAACGGCAATGGGATCAAAGATTTGGGGGGATCCAATCATTAGAGGCTCTCAGACTCTCACTGCTTCTCATCGCATTCATGTAGCAAGGGGGATGGATTCAATTTCATCACTAGCGTCATCAGAAAAGCTTCTTTCAATTTCAGATTCTAAGTCAGCAATAGAAGAAGTGCTAACAAGGGCCACTTTCAGTAGTTTTCTTCCTCAAAGGTTCGGTGATGAAGAGGAAATCACGAAGTGCACCAGAAAAATCAATTCCTTTCTGACTTAAATCCCATCTGTACTTCAAATGCTTCACCCTCAGGATCCAGAGAAAGTTTCGTTCCTCTAAATCTATTGAAAACACTTCCAGCATTACCAACAGAAGACGCATCTGATGAGTCAGCTTCTTCAACTGCTACATCTAGATTTCCATATTTGACATTGTTTCTGCAGGAGCCCTCCATGCTGTTTTCATCATCCTCAAAGGTCACTGAGTCGCTAGGCAAGCCCAAAAATTGTGAATCTCACCCAAAGATTTCAGACACTTCATTTTCTGTGTCCCAGTGTCATGCAATTCACAGCAAGGCAGTTACGGATCCACTCAAAATGAATCAGAGTCCTAAAAACTTCCGATCCAGGTCTTTTAATGACTATTGTTTGAGCACCAGCAAGACTCAGCCTATGAAGTATGCTGGACGAGGCAAGCTGTTTAAGGGGGTGAGGCAAAGACACTGGGGAAAATGGGTTGCAGAGATTAGACTGCCAAGGAATAGAACGAGGGTTTGGCTAGGGACATTTGACACAGCCGAAGATGCAGCCATGGCCTATGACACAGCTGCATACATACTTCGTGGAGAATATGCTCAACTGAACTTTCCAGATCTAAAGCATCACATCAAGGCCAATTCTTTGAATGGAACAACAGCTGCCCTCCTCGAGGCAAAGCTTCAAGCAATATCACAAGGAATTTCTTCTCAAAAAGTGCCCACTGATTCTCTGCCAGGATCATTGGATAAGAACCCAGCTGACAACACCAAAATCGATGGTAAAAATCAGAATCCAGCTAAAAAAGAATGGCAGTTTGAGATAGAGAACAAGGTTGGAGCTGATACAGTTGAGAGAAGCAAAAATAATCAGCAGGAGATATCGGGCGTGGAAGCTATTCAGTTAAGTAGAATGCCCTCATTAGATATGGACATCATTTGGGATTCTCTTTTAGTCCCCGATGCATGACCAATTTAAGTTTTCATTTCAAAAGCTTATATGATCCCCGTATCGTTCATAAACTGCATTCGTCGTCAGTTCATTCTGAATTTTACATATCACAGCACACCACGCCGACACACTGAATCTTCCGAATTCTGATTCTGCTATCTTGAAATTATATATTGAAAGTCGAATTGTTATTGATGCCTTTGGGCTCCGGTCTCTTGCTTCGTTCTATTCAGACATTTACCACCTTTACGCCACGACGAACTTATGATTTCTAAACTAAAACTTGATTGGATTACTAAGAATCCTTTCGCTAAAAAAGAGCAATGTGTTGAACAAAAAGCACGAGCCTGGAAACGAATACCAGGGGCGAACATGAAAAAACCTAGATTTCAATATCTATGAAAAGAGAGTGAAGCTACAAAACGATCTGAAATAATATACCCTTTTGCAGTGGCTTGCTAATGCAGCCATTGGTAGCTTTAGATAATCAATCTGTTGTATAGTTGCTGTCAGGATTGAAGGCCATTCGCTGAATCCATGGCTGATATGATACGATCCTCTGCTGCCACTAACACCCAAAGAAATATGACAGAACTCAGAAACTTCATAAAAACTGAAAACAAGGCTGTAGTACCATGCAAAAAAGGACATCAGATAAGAGAAATATTACCAATCGATTCTTTGTTTCGCGGCAATTTTAATAATCGGGAATCCAACTTGATAGCATCACCTTGTTACGAAATTGTTTTGGAAGATTCAATTTGTTAGTGTTTGCAGCATTGTCAAAATTGACTTACTTGTACCTTTTTTTCCTATCCATAATGATTTGAGGATAATTTTTTTGAAGTTGGGTGGCGAGACACTTGGTCTTTCTAAATAGCAACATTCAACAATGTATCAATTCCTATTGTTTTATTAGAGGTAAATTTTTTAATAAAAATTTAAATTTTAATATATCATGTTGTGAAGTATTAGCTACTAAACTCAACAATATAAATTAGTATTTATTTTATTAAAGATAAATTTTTTTAATAGGAATTCAAATCCTGATTTATTATGTTGTAAAGTACCAGCTATTAAACTCAGCTCTTATTGGTATCTTGTATTTTTTGTGTGATTTTCACATATAGGGTAGAAGATTGTTATATTTTGCTCAGGCAAAAAAAAAAGATTGTTATATTCTGCACACAACCTAAAGATCCTAAATCTTTTTCTTTATTTCTTTTTTGGGCCAAGAGGTTAGAATCCGAATTCCCACCTAGCCTTGGTCCTGCGCCGTTTACGAAGTGTTTGGTTAGGGGTTTAATGAGAGGAGGTAAGGTAGAAGGCGGATGAATTTTGTTTGGTGTAATAAATTAGAGCGGAGGAAAGGAAATTTTTTTTGTCTTTTTCTGCTTCCATTCCTTTCCCCCCTTCTCTTGTTTTTGGAAGGGAGAGAAATTATTTGTTCTGACTTGATAATATTATCCACAATATTGTTTTAATATTTCGAGTTTACCCTTAACAACTTCAATCATCTCTTTTACGCGTTGCTTTGTCTCTGATAATAATGATGATGATGATAATAATACTTAGTATTATTATATATGTTATAATACAATTATAAAGTATAATTATTCATACAAGTATAACTATAATTTATATATATTAAGTATTAATTAAATTTCATTTATCATTATACTGTATTAAGCATTTTACAAAACAAAAACAAAATTAACTTAAGATAGCATAAAGATAAAATTGTCCACATAAAAACTTCTCTCCTCTATTCTTTTTCTAAACCAAATAAAGTAACATTAAAATTTCTTTCCTCCCCTCTCTTTTCCTCCTCTCCTCTCCTTTACATTAAAATCCTTCCATTCTCCTCCCCTTTCCCTCTCCCTCGTTAAACCAAACACACAGAAATTAATAATCTCAAAATATAAGTCATTTGGGTGATCGTTCATTTTTTTTTTAAGTATTATTCCTATTACAATTTGCTAGAAGAAAACCTAAAATCCAATGCAGCATTTTTTTTATTTTTTTAAATATATGTAAAGTTGGAAAAAAAATTTATTTCTAGTCAAAATTAACGAGTCAATGACGTCTTTTTAGTTTTGGTGAAAGGTGATGTACAACAATAGCGATTTTTATAATCCCACGTTAGAACTTAACAGATATGGTCACAGATAGGTAAGCCTTGTATGGTCACGGATAAGTAAGCCTTGTATTAAGAAAATTTCCCCTTTTCTATTACCGTTTCTGTGTTGTTTGGCCGCAATCCATATCAAACAGAACCTTATCCAAGAAAAGGGAAAAATAAATTTCATCGCCTTCTCTTGCATCATTAACATGACATGAGTTTCAAATTGAAAAAAAAAAAATACCAGTTATCTTCTGACCAAAAAAAAAAACCAGTTATCGATGTCCAAAAGTGAGAAATCAGTTATTTGTTTTGTGAGTGGGAATTTGTGAGAGCTTAGAAATATATTCAGCACTATTTGCAGTTGATTTTTTTTAACTGGAAAATGTAACCGAAAATAGAGATCTCCCTGGTAAAATATAGTTAAATAAAGGATAGAAAATGGTATAAAAAAAGGAAAGACAAAAATACCGAATGAATAAGTAAAAAAAGATAAGAAAATAGCGGGAGGACTAATTCCCGAGAGTATTTTATTTTCATTCAAGTCACTTAGACTCTTCATATATCTCCCTCTCTCTATTTCACTGGGCCGTTTCATTCGGATTTCGGACTAATCCCGATTTGTTAAGGGGAAACTGCATCTAAATACCCTAGATCTATAAATTCTGTGAGTTTGGGGAGGGAAAAACATACTCCTCCGATCCTTAATATAAGATCCATTTAACTAATTTGATTAGATTAAAAAAATTAGGTAAGTTAGTTAATTATAAGAAAAGTGACACATCTTTTCTAAAATACCATAATCATCTTTCTTAATACCCCTCTCTTTTCTATTTAATTATGGTTGAAGGAGTATCCATAGGGGTAATTTAGAAAAAATTGATAAATATAAAAAATGTGTCTTATATTTAGGATCAAAACCAACTCAAAAATTGAGTCCTATATTAAGGACCGAAGGAGTACTACTTTTGTCTTGTATATATCTAGAGATCTGATTGGTTAAAAATTTCACATAACAAAAGAAAGTTAGGATCCTTTTTGCTATGCTAGAAAAAAGTTACTTTCAAAATTAGTAGAATTCGAAGCTTTTAATAAGGTATCTCATAAATGTATAAATACTTTTTAATCTTTAAGAATAATTGTAATTTTTTAAATTTGTTAAATGATTTTACATAGGATTCGGGTCTTCAGAAGTAATTCTTCCATTGCGTATCCCACAACCACCTTTTTGTTACAGCCAAAGAAATAAATAAATGTTGAGGTCACCTTTTGATATTCCTCATAAATGAGACAGAGAAAAGCAAATGGAAAGAGGATTGTGTTTTGGGAAATGAGTAAAATCCACCAGGTCAAATTTTCTTCTTCACCGTTCATTCATAATACCCTCTTAAAATAAAAATACACTTTAGAATAACAGAAACATAATAATAATTAATAAGTGAAATGAAATCCTGACTCCCACCACCACAATCATCTTACATATTCTTAAGCTTCCTGCTTAATTTCATTTTTCATTTGCATCATTGCATGTTCAGTACTCTCTCTCTCGGTAATTCTCGTCTTGTTTATTTTAAATACATTTTGCCTTATTATATAAAATTTCTGGTTATACATTCCTGCTTCTGCCTCTGGATTTTCCTGGTTGTTGTATTCTTTTATAGTTTGTACGTATTATTCTTGCTCCCCTTTATCCAAATCCTTAAATCTATAACCTACGGTGAGTATAAAAATATTAGGAAAAGGAAGAAAGCAATGAACATTTCAGGCCTCTATTGTGGGAAATCTTTATTTCTTTATCATATTTTCTTATCGTTGTCCTCCATGAGCGTGGCGTGGGAGGCCAGACAAATGTGATTTGAAATTTCAGGAAGCGGGTCTTCAAGAAAAGGTGAGGTTTCCGTCTTTGACGATGGGCCCTACGTCTCCATTTCCTTTTTACGCTGATACAATTTCAGTTAGTACAGAAATATTCGATATAAAGTGAAAGACTCTGTGTATGGCAATATATATTTGTGCCAGATCGTCCGGTCGATAGCCGTAGCCGTATGAACAGAGCATGAAGTGAAGGAGAGACATTTTGCGTGTCGTTATTGCCATATCCTGAAAGGGTTTCTTCTTTTTGGCCTCTGATTTTCTCAGAAAGCTTAAGGTTTAATGGGTTCTTCGTACTGTTGCATCTTCGGGAGTCAGGAGGGAATTCATAACTTTGACAGTTATGCAGTATTATTCCCTCTTTTTTACCTCTCGGTCTTTGTTTTATCTCCTAGCTTCTCCCTGGGAGTTATGTCGTCAGCCCTGGTGGTTGGGGATCTCATCAACCTCGTGGTTTGTTTCCGTTCTCCGAGATAATCTAATGTATAGTCATTTTGATGGGTTTTTTAGCCCTGCCGTGTCCCACATTCTGCTACTAGACTTTTCAGCTCTTTCTTTTCTTTTATTGCCTCCAAGATTTGGTTTTTCTTGATTTCCCTTGTCTGCATGGTGGTCAATCATAACTTTTCACTGCTTGAGTTTTTTGTTTCTTGGTGTGTCTTTGCAGTTTTCTGTTTATTAACTTGCTTTACGATGTTCTTGTCCTAGTTATTGTTTGTTCGATTATTTTTCGACGTCGTCCGACTTTTGTAAGGATAAATCTTGCAGGCTACAACTGGCAATATTGGCATTTGGATAGGGAAACACTGAAGTGAAGGGCAAGGTTACTAAAGAAAAGCGTTCCAAATGGCATCAACATCGGATGCCTCCAAGACTTCATTCCCTGTGACAGAGGCAGCTTCGAACTTCTATCTGTATCCTGCTCCTCTTGCAAAATTTGATGATATCGCGGGTGATCCCAGGCTCTTTTTGTACACATTGGAGAAGCTCAACAATCGTCTGGGTTCCAAGTTCATGTGAGCTCTCCCTCTCCCTCTCTATACGTATCCGTTATCATCCTCTACCCTGCTATATATTCCCCTGTAACTTTACAGTGCTGGGATTCGAATTCTTTAACATAAAGCAATGATTAGAAGTTTAATAGAAATGCATTGTGCAAAACAGTGTTCCCTGTGTCCTGAGTTCTGGGCTCTTTTAATGTATGTTTATTGAAAATTGAAAGCGTATGGGTTTTTCTTGTCCATATTTTGAAAATTACAATATGCCGCCATTCTGCCAATTTCTTCTTCTGTGGAGTATCACATTGCCATTTTGCGTCCTCGTCAAAGAAATTGTGATATTTTTTTTTGGCAGCCAGGGGCTCTGCTTTTGCAGTGTCTGCGAAGGCGTTGCTCAGTTTGTGGTCTGAGATTTTCTTCTTGGTGCGCTTTGGCCCTTTTGACCAATTGTTCAAGGGCCTCCGTCAAAATTACCTGTAGACAATAATTTCTATATTTTGTTTGAAATATTGGAATGTTAGGTGAAGATATTAATTACCTTATAAGGTTTAATAATATATATATTAATCTATTCATGCCCTCTCGTCTTTTCTTCATTGTTTGATGTAATGAAAGAACAAAGGGAAAGTGACAAAAGGCCAAGCTGACAGATGATAACATACTATTCTTCGACTATAGTAGACTTGGCCATGTATTTTGAAAATTTTGATTACAGTCATGTGCCTAAACCGTTAATTTTTCAGAATAATCCTCAAATCCAAGTTGGATGAACTTCTAGTGATTATTTTGTCAAGATAGATGCCCACTTCTTTCTGATTTCTGTTTTGCTTTTCATTTTCTCTGTGGCATTCCATTTTATGTCATTATTATGGATTTTAGTTTGGACAATGCCTAAATGTTTATCTATTCAAATTGTTTGGAGTGTTTTTTTGTGCTCTTACTTGACCAATGTCTTGAGACATTGTATCAGGAATAATCAATATCTACTTAAATATGATCCTTGCAGGAACATTTAATGTTTCCTTCATTGACAACTTGGCCCTGTTTCCACTTCGTGTATTTTTTAAGAAATATTGCTCAAGAAACTTTTATTACTTTCCTTAAGAGCTCACAGAACGAAATTTGAATAAACATTGTTGCAATTTGTTGAGTCCTTTTTATTTCTGTTGACAACCTGTTTCAGGATACCCATTATAGGGGGAAAAGAACTAGATTTGCATCGGCTTTTCTTGCAAGTGACTTCTCGTGGAGGCATTGAGAAAGTAAGATGTGAATGATCGAGTATTTGTTGTTGTTGGTGCTAATTATTTTCCCTCACTTGTTTTGCATTAGTACGATTAATGGTTATATCTTAAAACTGCAATGGTCTTTAGTATCATCTTCCAGATATTATTTTAGATGCAATGGAGTAACAGTAAAGGGAGACATAATATTTGTAAACCAACACCTTATAGCCAATCAAATTTTAAAAATGTTCTTATTGATGAATGTCATGAACTGATATCAAATCTTTATTTATTTAAGTGATGCAAAACGTTACAGCATTTAAATGTTTTATCATCTGATCTTAAGAACTTGGAAGAATTATGTGCTTTATTTATAATATAGTAATCGTAATAAGGATAAAAATTTAATTGATCATAGTGAATTTATCAACCATAATTCAGTGCATCAAGTCAACAATAAAAAATGATAATTAAGTCAGAACAAGGTTCATTACATATCAAAACTTGCTTGAATGTTGGATCCCTCAAAAAGATGTGCGCAATGATTAATGACTTCATCAAACATAAGTTTGGTTCCCTAATGACCAAATGTGGTTTCAGATTCTAGTATAAGAACATTTCATTGAAAAAAAGCCAATCTTAAACACACAGCGCATAGCTGTATAGAAGATAAAACATTCCTCTACTCTAATCTGACAATATATTCATAATAGCCCAAAAACCGAAAATCTTTTACTTCATGAAATCTGATACCTGGAAGTCGAGATGACCTGTTTGTCATGGCCTGTTAATGAAACCTTGATAATCAATTATGCAAATGTTGGATTGAATGAGAAAGATATTGCAATTCATGATGCAAAAGCTATAAAACTTGAGAACTTTGTACATTATTCTATAGATGCGTGCAAATTGTTGGTTTTGTTTGTTTACAGTTAACTAGTGATAATCCTAAAGAATCTAGTTAATTTTCTGCACAGATTATAAGGGAGAGAAGATGGAAAGAAATAACTGCTCTTTTCAAATTTCCATCTACAGCTACAAATGCTTCTTTTGTGTTGCGGAAGTACTATGGTCAATTGCTTTACCACTATGAACAATTATACTATTTGAAGGCCCCAGGATGGACCCATATACCTTCTGGTCTGTGCATTTAGTCCAAATTTCTTGATTCTAGGGCATTTTTAAATGCATAAAATGACAATTGGTTTCTGTCAGATGCTTTGCAGAGTTCATTGCATGTTCCAGTTCCTACAAGAATACAGCCGATTTTGCATCCCCCAGTTAATGCCTCTGAATTGCCTGAAGGTATCTTTTTCCTATCTAAATATAAGATTGATTACTAACTTTGGAGAAGGAAAAATTTGCAGTCACAAAAATTGTTCGGCCCATCTGTTAATCCTCTCTTAACTATGATGAAATGATGAAACCTTATGGAGCAGACTCTTAGCGTTTGAAGTCAACATTTCTAAGTCAAATGATTAATCTTGGTTCAAAATATTTGTGTGGTTTCAACAGATCATGTTATTCTACTGCCTAGTTTTTTCAAGTATGCCTAACATGATATATTTTGCATGCCTTTCTGATCTTAACTCTTTGTCTCTCTGAGATTTAACACTGTAGATATCCTTTGAGCTGCTTTAGTTATTTAGGGCAATCGCTTGAACTGGACAGTCTTTTGTAATTTGTATGTATAAATTATATGTAATAGAGATATTAATCAGATTTGGATGTTATCACTGGAAACGATTTAAGGATATGGTTGCTGACTTAGTTTGACCTAGTCATATGTTTGTCGTTCCACGAGCCAATATTTTTTTCCAAAAAAAAAAAAGTACAGCTTGTCATACAAGCTACTATGTTAGTTTGTCATGCAAGATAATTTTCCAGTCTCTATCAATAACTTGCATGTCATGGCTTGGATTTGTTGTTTTGCTCCGTTCTGTTAACTTGCAAATTTACTAGCTACAGGTTTTGTTTATTTTAAATTTAATTTTTTTTTCGGAATAAGCTATAATGAGCTGATGGATGAGCAATAATGTATAATCTTTTTGTGGTTTCAGCAACTTCAGCTTCTTCTGCAGGGACTCCAGTGATTGGGGTGATTGATGGAAAATTCGAAAGTGGGTATCTTGTTACTGTCACACTGGGTTCAGAGAAACTTAAAGGTGTGCTATATCAGGCTCCACAAAACCCTGCGTTGCCAACAATGCTGCAACATAGTAGTGTTCCAGTTAATTACAGCAATACCTCATCAGCTGCTTTGGGTGTCCATCGTCACCGACGTAAGAAATCTGAGATAAAAAAGAGAGATCCTGATCATCCTAAACCTAATCGAAGCGGATACAATTTCTTCTTTGCAGAGCAGCATGCAAGATTGAAACCGCATCACCATGGGAAGGACCGAGAAATCAGTAAGATAATTGGTGAGCTCTGGAACAAATTAATAGAGCCAGAGAAAGCAGTAAGCAATTTATTGAATTTTGTCTTTCTGCATTTATGTTTTTCATATTTTTGAGTTCATATTTTGGTCACCAAAAGAGACGCTTCTCAATTTATTGCTTGAAACCTTGACCTTTTCATTTCAGTCCTCTATAGTATATTGTATTATGAATAAAGTCTTCACATTAAGCCTGCTCGCAAAAAGTAAACAGAACAGTTACTTGGGGGAACCAAAAGCTTTTCAAATGTTGAAAAACAAAATTACCAGGATTTCTTGGTTCGTTTTGTTCTTTTCCCTCCTTTGATTTTCTGGGTTTCAATTGTAGCTAAGCATTCAACTGTTCTGTCGAGTCCTGGTTGGGCCACATAAACTCCTTGGTTTTAGTGTTCACTCTCAGGCTTGACATGAGGACTTTATTAAAGACAACATACTGACTTTATGAAGGACAACATACTCTAGAATGTCAAAATTTGGGGGATCAGATTGAGACACGAAGTATCTTTGGAGAACTAAAGTATGAAAAAAAATTTTCCCCATTTTCCGATATCCTGCGTGAACGGCTTTCCCTTGACTTTAGGTTTATCAAGAGAAGGCTCTTAAGGATAAAGAGAGGTATCAAGCTGAAATGGAGAATTATAGGGAGAAACTGAAAACAGGCCAGGGTATAGGTGATGCTGTGCCGCTACAACAACAAATTCCTGATAAGGATATGATGGATGCCGACTTGAAAGTGGATGAATCTGAGGGAGTAGAATTTCCTCAGACACCAGCTGAGAGCAGTTCTAGTGAAAGTGGCTGCGAAGTTGATAAAGGTACAGAGCATAATTTGGACGTGAATGCATCTCCTGGAATGATAGGAGTGGGTGCTGAATCTAGCTATCTGGGTGGGAGAAACCATCGAAGGAGAAAGAAGGGAATGATGATGGAGATCAACATGCTCAAAAGATGGATGAGAGCTCAAGCATGATGGCTATGCAGTAAAGAGTGGAGCAAAGGAACGAAGAATCTTCAAGAATTTTTGATATGGCTGAAAATCCCAGGCTTAATATAGGTTAGATTGCCGAAAATGAATTAGGATGTTACAACTTGTGGTATTGTGTTTTCAAGAATGTTTACGATGCTCGTATGGGCGTCATTTTGCTGTAAATTTAGCACGCTGCTATAGACATTCGCTAATGAAGCAATGGGTACTGGAGGATTTTTTGTTATGTTGGGTTAACAAGCAAGAATCTGATTGGTTACTTACAATACTACTTTATTCTTTAACCACATTATTGGCCAACCATGAATCTTTTGGCATGCTCTGGGGATTTTGGAATAAAAATCTCCCTCATTGTCAAGGAAATGCCAATCTTGCACTGGAAGTAATAAAAGTTAGTTGCTCAGACATTAAAATAAAAAAGGAACATCCTACGTGCAACAATAAAGCTATACTGATCACTAGTTGTATGCTGAGTTTGCTTGCCAAAACTGTATATTATAACTGCGAAATCATAACTTTAATAATGGAGATCGCGATTATTGCTTGCTTTGTAGCCGTGCAACGAACACTATATTATAAAAAAGCATGAACTAAATAAAACTGATACTGTAATGAACATTTAAGAGAAGGGCTAGCTACCTAGAAAGGCCAACCTAGGAAAGTGTGAGAAAAAGGAAGTATATATATAGGCAGCAAAGAAGGTAAGTTGTTGATTACTTTTGCGTAGAAGCATCAACAATGGAGGTTGAGGATGAATGTTTGTTGGGTTATGCCATGAAAGGCCAATGGAGGGAAGCTGTAGAGGCATACAGGAAGAAGCCAAGAGCGTTGGAGGCCAGGACCACGAAGTTAGAAGACTCAGTGATACACATGGCAATCTATATGGGGCGGACCAATTTTGTGACAAGCCTCCTAGAGAAGATCGAAAAGGACGAGTGTATAAGAATCCTAAACATGCAAAACTCAAAGGGAAACACTCCTCTCCACTTGGCTGCAGAACTTGGTAACCTGGAAATCTGCAGAAGCATTGCAGGAAGAGATCCCGATCTCATTTCATGTCGAAACATGGAAGGCGAAACGCCGTTGTTCTTGGCAGCTCATTATGGTAAGAAAGATGCATTCTTTTGCCTCCATGGTTACCTCAACAACAAAGGTGACTACTCACTCTGCAGGAGAACTAACGGGGATACAATCCTTCATTCCACCATATATGGTGAATTCTTCGGTTAGTTCATATATTATATATTATTCTACACCTCAATTGTGTTTTTCAAACGCCAGATTAATTATTATTCTCTTAAGTTCTTTTGATTGTTTCTTGTTGTAGATTTGGCATTTCAAATAATTCACTTGTACCCACACCTTGCATTGTCTAGGAATGAAGAAGGTGTGTCACCTCTTCATATCCTTGCCATGAAGCCCAGCTGCTTTAAAAGCAGCACAAGAATGGAGACTTTTGATATTCTCATATACCATTGTAAGATGCTCTTATTTCCTTCAAGTTTTTCCCATTTAGTTAGAATAATTATTTGTCTCTCATTTGTCATATAAAAAAACATAACTTTAAGAATATTCCGAGCATAATCATATTTATATCGTTTACTGTAGAAGATTGTTGGTAGCTAAAAAGATTATATATGGTTTTGTAGCATGAAGGCATACAGCCGTTTGCTCTTGATTAAGGAAGTTTATCCATTACAATTATTGTTAGAAAATGCTAGAGTTATCAATATTGATTTGATGATTAGGAAAATGGGTTCTATATATATATATATATATATATATATATATATATCCACACTTTAGACCAAAACGCAAAATCTAACTTGATCGACAAGTAATTTAATATTCCTCCATGATGAACTCTCGCTAGATCATCGCATACAGTAAAGCATCAATATTGGCTTTTTCATCTCTAGGAGTAGAATCTCTGCAGCAATAATTGTTTCATGATAAAATCATAAAGAATCACTCTACAATTATAACTGAACCCAAACCCTACATGTGTCATTCAATTTTCGTCAGGTGAACGTAAAATTTCCAGGTGTTAAAGGTTGATGTTATATATATATATATTTGCACCTCGGTTTTGTGTAAGTTCTAATAACTACTCATGTTCTTCCAGGTTTAATAGTGGATGAGTTGAAGAAGGAAATTGAGGACTCAAGTAGAGCAGATAGCAAAAGTATTGAGTGTCCAGAGAACTACACAACATGCATGGATGTGTTAGAAACTTCGAAGAAACTACTTAAAGTATTGAGTGAGTCAAATATACATTCTCTACTAAATCATATATATATATACATATATATATATATATATATAAAAACGCACGCGCTTTACTTTGTCATTCATTTCATGTAAATTGGTAATTCCAATACATGCTCTCAAATATAACAACTGGACTTGGCTCATTCTCGAGTCCACTGTTATCATATCTGATTTAACACTTGGGTGTTATTAACTTCCTCATCCAATCCTTTCTTGGATTTGGAAGCCAATGAAGCTCAGTCCCTCATCACCATCAAAATAGCTTTATCTAAGTGGTTGAAATTGCCACAAGTTTATATATGCCCTTTATTTTTCTTATGACTTCTAGATGTTCAAGCCTATGTCCAACATATATAACTCATTCATGTCTTACATTTATGCCGTAATTGAAGCAACTGGCACTAGTGGCGGTAAAGCTGCAACTGATCAAGAGAATCAGAATCCCTCACTTGGCAGAAACTACCCCAGAAATGCAGGTACCTAATTTATCCTCAATTCGAGCTAACCAGATCTCTATATATGTATAAACAATGGTGATATAGCTGGGGAGAGAGAGAGAGAGCTAACTTGATATTTATGATCTTCTATATCTATATATCATATTCGTGTTAACTGTGTTATGTTAGCTGGTACTTTATAAGAAATAGTTATTAATTGTGGTTTCTGTTTCAGAGCAAGCAGCAAGGAAACAAGAGAGAAGCTACCGATTCCCTCACAACTGGGAAACCGCGATCAGATTCCTAGTCATCCTTATGAAGGTTTTTCTAATCATTTTTGGTGTAGGTAGGATATGATTCTTCTCGCAATCTGATGTGTCATTAAAAAGATAAACATCACGTTAATCTCCATATACACATAATCTTTAATCACAGGAGCATCTTGGATATGGAAAATCCAGAGAAGAAAAGAGAAACACGTGTGGGCCAAGCAAGTAATGGTGGAGCTAGTTCGACTCGCTTCTTTCCACAAATATGGCAACACGGGAAGTACTCCTCACAAGTATCACAGCGAAAGTGCAAGAGAGGACATGGAGAATCACATGAGTGATCAGAAGAAGAAGGGGACTATAATAGAGACGCCAATATTAATAGCAGCGAAGATGGGAGTGACGGAGATGGTGGAGAAAATCCTGCACTCTTTCCCTCTGGCAATCCAAGACCTGGACGCAGACAACAAGAACGTGGTTCTTCTGGCCGTAGAGAACAGACAGCCCCATGTGTTTAGCCTTCTAAGAAAGATGGAGTTTGTCAAAGAGAGTGCTTTCAGACACGTCGATGCTCAAGGCAATAGTGCCTTGCATCTCGCTGCTTCTTGTAAGGATCATAAGCCTTGGCTTGTTCCTGGCGCTGCCATGCAAATGCAATGGGAATACAAGTGGTATAAGGTTCGTTCGTGTGTGTGTGTGTATACAAATATATATCTATATGATTCTCATATGCATTTATTTGTTAAATACGAGAGAGAAATCTTCATTCAAAAGTTGATTTGCTTGCATACTTTGTGATTTTCAGCTAGTGAAGGACTCGATGCCGCCGAACTTCTTCTCTCGATACAACATTCATGGCGAAACAGCGAAGCACATCTTCTTAAGAACACACGGACATCTCATGAAAGAGGGGAGCAAGTGGCTGACGAAGACGGCGGAGTCGTGCTCGGTGGTGGCGGCGCTCGTGGCGACCGTGGCATTCACTACGTCGACGGCCATACCCGGAGGATCCGACCAAGACACCGGCGTGCCTCTTCTCCAAGGACGTCCTCTGTTCAACATATTTACGGTGGCGTCTGTGGTGGCGCTGTGCTCGTCGGTGATGTCCCTAGTGATGTTCCTGTCGATCCTGACGTCTCGGTTCCAAGAGAAGGACTTCGCTGCAGGACTGCCCAGGAAGCTTCTGGTGGGGATGTCGTCACTGTTCACCTCAATAGGTTCGGTGTTGGTATCTTTCTGCGCGGGGCATTTCTTCGTCGTGCAACCTGGCCTGAGAGTCGCCGTGTATCCGATATACGTGGCGACGTTCTTGCCGGTGACGTTTTTCGCACTGGTTCAGCTTCCTCTGTATCTTGATCTGGTTCTGGCGATCTGCCGGAAGGTTCCACAACGGAGCTACAAGGTCTTCTCCCACGACATGGGATCCCCTGAAAAAACATCCAGAGGTAAAACTTCGTCCTGATCAACTCCATGAAAGCTAACGTAGTTATTACTGACTAACATCAAATTCTAGCTCGTGAAAAGCTGTTTGGTTTATTTGCCTTTTTCTAATTTATATTTATGTATAATTAGTTTCATTTTGGCTTTTCGGTTTTAATTAATTTATTAGAAATTATAAAATACAATTATTTTGTGGAATAAATCAGTATTTTAACGTTCCATGTGTTATGCCGGTAAAAGATACTGCCTCCAATCCTAAACTTAAGAAAGCACACAAAAGGCTTGCTTTGTTGTTTAAAACTTTCATATATTTTATCTTTTAAATTTATAATTTTTGCACAATAATATTTATATTAATTGCATATACTAAAAGTTCCTATTAAGGGATAGTTATAAGATAGTTATAATACAGATAACTAAAAAAACATGGCGAGCACAACAGGGGTGCTGAAGGCCCAAACGGCCGAGGTAGTGGCTACCATGACTGCCGAAATTTTTGAGCAACAAGCAAAGATCGTTGTGCTAGAGAAGGCGGTGGCCAATAATGGGCCGGTTAACACATATTTATTATAACATATAACTAATTTAACTAATTTTTTTAATATCTGTAAATTAATTATCTAATTCCTAGGTAGATTATTGGAGTGAGTATATATCAATTTCGTTGTAGCTTGAGTGAATTATTCAACGCTTTGCACCCACTCTTAATATTTTTCTATCTTCCAACCAAATCATCTGATCATGAAGTCGGAAGGATATTAATTATTAATAACATTAATATAATAATGAATCCTGATCTTCATCATCCAGAATTCTCCACAATGTTTAAGTCAGAAAGTAGATGAAGCAGGATAAATAATTTAATTTCCCAGCCTCTCAATTATTTTCATCGTCTATTAACGAAACACCAATTTGTTATATTTTGCAATATTAATAATTTCGATCAACTTGTTTTGCAACAAGAGATAGTATTTCCTTAATTATATCAATTGAATTATTCCCCTCTTATAATCATTGTTAATTAAACGAAAGTTCATTCTATTGCGAAAGTTTATAATCGTTATAGATACATATATATGTACAAATTTAGCACGCTGCTGTAAACATTTGAAGAATCCCGCGAAGATAAGTTTGAAATTACAAAATTTCAAAATAAGTTTAATTATCATATTTTAATAGGTTTTAATAATATTTAATAATAACACATTTTTGTAGTAAATCCTTACTTTAGATCTGGTGATTTCAAATTTTTTTTATAGGATCTCTCATAGATATTCGCTAACTATGGAATTTTTGTTAATTTGGGGTTACAAGCCAGAATCTGATTTGATTATAATACAGCAGTAATTAATTATTCCTTCACCCCATTTTGGAGCAACTAACTACATATGAATGCTTGGTACTCTAGAGGTATTTTGAAATTACAGGCTTCTGCGCGGGGATGTCGTCACTTTTCACCCCCAATATCTGCGGGTCCATAACCCCTTTTTCTTTTCTTATTTTTTTTTACTATATGTGTCTTTCTGCTGCTAGCTAGCTATTCCGTTGATTGAAGTTTATTTAAGCATATGCTTACACTTTGCAATAATAACATGAGATAGCATAATTCTTGCTTAATGACAATGGTTGATTATTTGTGTTTAATCATTCCTCCCGTCTTTAATATAAACTCCTCAATTAACTCCTATATTAAGAATACGACGAGTATAATATACGATACTAATGCAAGAGAGCTTTTTCACGAGGGGTGATTTAGTTCTGGGTCAATACAGCTATTTATATGCCCATATATAAGTATCGGTTAAAAGGCCAGGCTTTTTTTTCTTTTTCATATTGAGCTTTCATCTATCTATTTATCAGGAAGTATAAATTTAAACGTTTCATACTGATAAGTATTTTTAATATTATTTTAAATATTCATGTGTGATACTTAAAAAAGGGAATAAAAAAAGAAAAAGAAAACATATCAATTGTATAATGTATTTCTCCTTTAAGTTAAGAATGAACAACATGTAAAAATAGTTTTCCGTGTGCGTCATGTAATTGCCACTAATACTTAATTAATAATTATAGTATTGTGGAAGTTTATTCACACGTTTATAATATAGTCACAAAAGTTTTGATTACTTTTGAGACCAAACAATGTACACAACTTGATGGCCAGCGAATGTAAATACAGAGGCGTGGAATAATAAACCACGGCTGATATCATACACACAAAGCAAATATTTTGTTTTTTTGTAAAAAACATTGTACATGCAATTAATCTCTTCTATACAATAAACGAGTCTTCTCCATAACCTTCACGTCCCACCTACCCTTTCCTTTTTCGTCTCCTGTTTTTCTTTTTTCAAAAAATTCATACCCAGATGGTTGGTGCTCCTTCCATCGTTAATAAGAATTACTTAATTAATTTGATAAGTTACATATATTATTTAATTTTAATAAATGTGACATAATCTTCTTAAAAATACTTCTGTGTAATATTAATATCAAATTATATATATAAATTAAGACGGGAAGGGTATATTTTTGTATTGTCTCTAATGCAATCCATGATGTTTCAGCAAGTGTGTAACGCTTAGATCCGACATCGGAGGTAGGTGTTACGCGTAGTATATTAGAAAATGCCTTAGATTTAAATGAAGAAAATCAAGGTAAAAAAAAAAATGGAGAAAATGGAAATGTGAACGAAACGAAAATGTATAAATTTTCCTGATTCCTCATTCCTACAACGGTATAACCAAATGTGCCCGTTATTATTTTTCCCAAGAAAAAAAGCCCCCCTGACCAATAAAAAGTAGTATTGATGAATGATATGTAAATACGTCTGTAAACGTGTTTTGAGTTTGGAGGTATTTTGACCTTGATTAGTCTTACATACCTAACTCATCTAAATCTTTTATGTATAAAAAAGTGCCCTTAATTAATACCACTTAAAAAAACCTTGGATCTCTTAAAATTTAATAATTTTTAAGTTTATCTTTATTTAATATATGTATATGCTTTTTGTGAAAACAATGATAAAATTATATATTTAAGTAAAACAATTAATAACGTGGCATATAAATAGGAGTTGAAAAATTGTTTCTCTCCCCAGAAAGTCCTCCTCATTTCGTATTCTAAATTTAATTAGATATATTTAATCTGTTATTCAGTCTGACGTGAGATCTATGCTAATAAACATATTGGTGCATATCAAGGCGTGACAAGCGAGTTAAAATTAAAATGGTACTATTAACTGTATAAGGAATATGACTTTATTAATTATGTATTGCCCTGTGACTTTATTAATTATGTATTGCCCTATGACTACTGAGTTTTAGACTATATATAACCGAGATTAAGTCCTCAACTACCACAAAATCGTTCATAGATTAAGGAAAAAAATTACTTCCACAGATGAGGTTAGGTAGCTAATTATTTATTTTCAAGGTGTTTTGTTTTGGTATGAAATGCAAATTTATCGCCATCAACTGACGTGAATTATACTATTTTTTTTGCCAACGACGTGAACTAGTACTAATTAACACTATAAAATAAAAAAAATGGGAGGTTTCGTGAGTTTTGGTCTACTTAATAATATTTGTTTATATTAATTTAGCTAATCCACTAAGCTTGGGGGGTGACCTGCCGCCCATGTTAATTGAGAAGGTGTGATGATCTGTGAACATTTGACTTTTGGGCCTAACTTATCCACTAATTAATTGATTTCAAGAAAAATGAGTGATAGGAACATTCATTTTCCAAAAAAAAAAAAACAAAAGCATTGTTATCCATAAATGATAATAAATTTAAAATATTCCTGGAGCATATCAAATCAATCAATCATACTTGAAAAAAAAAGAAATTAAATATTGTAACTTCAAAAAACATCAATAATAACTTATTTTATGAGTTGTATGAGAAATTTTAAATTCTTGAATATTATTAATTGATATTAGTATATCCGTGTTTTTTTGAATTAAAAAAGAACAAGGCCAATTGGACTTTAATAAGCCGACAATAATGCTTCCATACTTCATTGCTGATGGCAACATTCATTTCCACCTGTCCTTCATGCTTTCATTTTCCCTTTAATTTTAAGCAAATACCAAATGTGATATGAGTAAACTTGTTCCTAATGTACCATTCCACTTGTGTTGAGCGGGTTTGGTAATCACAATCCTAGTTCTTTCTCCTGCGTAGCTAGATTCTTTTTTATTTTTTATTTTCCCACCCTGGATGAAATAGCCAGATACACTAATAACAATATGATATTACAAATGGCCCAACCAACGATTTTTCACTTGTAGAGACGACACCACAAGACCTTATGTTTATAAATAATCTCCCTAAAGATTTTAAGGGCACCATTAGTTTATAGCCAAAACCAGCATGATTTTATTTTTGTTTAGGACAGTGCTACGAAAAATTTGACGTCTTCAAACGCGGAACTTTAATTTTTTTTTTTTAGAATAATACTCTCTCTCTTTTTATTTTTTTAAATGCATGTAGTTTGAAGTGATTCAAAGGGCCAAAGATTTGCTCTTGGAGGCAAAATTTTGTGAAGATTTTTTATTGACTATCTAATATTAGTACTATTGATTATACTTTGAATTTGGGCATTGTACCCTCAAATGGAATGGAACTCTCTCACTTTCTAGAAACTCTCCCGGTTTTTGAAAAATTCATGAAAGATTTTGTCATAGTGGATTTCCTCCCTCCGTCTTTATAATTTCAAAAGGCATTCTATGGTTGACACTTGATGCTTTCACATTAGAGAAGAAACTTAAAACGAGGAAGAAAAAGAAGGCATCAATAGTAAATCAGATGTATCTTAATTGTTACAATAATACAATAATCTCCCTCCCAAGGGCTTTTCAATTTTAAACAAAAATGTACAGAAACGGTTCTTGATTGATGAACAACTCATTCCGCTAGGTTAGAGGAAAAGCCATATCACCTACATTCAACCAGAAAAGCGGTACAGATTTGTCTTAGTGGAATTTGTTTTTTGTCTTTAAGCCCTCCACTTGCGCTCATATGGATATCCAACTCATGAAACATACAAGGCCAGACAGTGACAACCTCTCACTTCTGGTCGAAATATTATATACTACTTTTGGTCTTAACTATAAAAACTAGTTGACTAATTTGAAGAGATTAATAAAAAAAGTTAAGTTAACTATTTGTAATAAATATGTGTTGTCTTTCTTAAAATATTCTTACTAATTAAGTGTATTAGCTATACCTACCATTGTTAGAAGGTCTTGGAAAAAAATATATAATATGAGAGACAAAGTGGATTGGAGTCTTATATTTAGGATTAAAATAAAAGTCAAATAAGGTTTTATATTAAAGACCGGAGGTAATACATGCACACACATATATAAATATAATGCCTTTTTGTTGGCAAAATTTTCTTCCTCTGGCAAAATCAAAGGATCGAAAACTTGAAATTGAGTCTTGCAGATTTTCAAAAGTCTCCAGAAAGAAATTGAGATTTTCCAATTAAAAAAATGCCAAAGGAATCATCTTTTGGTGAGTTCATATAAGGGTAGGTTCCAATTTGGCAGATAGTTGTATATAATTCAACCATGCTCACCTAACGCGTTGAATAATACCACCCACCACATAATACGTCGCATTCCATTGGCTTCATCATCAAGATCATCCTTCTCTTCGTCCTACTAATTATACCAGCAAGCTTCACAATTTTCTTGCTCATAACCCATTAGGCCATCACCTTTTCCCCATGTTCATCTTGCTTAGATTCAAAAACAGTGCCTAAGCCCCCACCATGCACCTCAAGCATCTCTGCGTCATTTTACCTGCAGATTCCGCTGAGTTTAAGCATCACCCACCATCAAAAGTCAACCGATTCTCCCGGAAAGAAACCAAGACAAAGAAACAACAGAGGGCTTGTGGGGGTCAAGTTCTTGCCTTCCTTCGTGATTCTCTGAGCAAATTATATGGCAGAAACTGTTCGAGGTTTTTCCACAATGAAGTGGGGAAAGGGAAACAAGGCTCAGTCGTGCTGTTTCATGACATGGACGGAGTACAACTCTCTGCCAAGATTGGTGGGGACAGCCCACGAATCTTCAGCTTCGCTGAGCTTTTCATAGGGTCTAATGGTTTCAGTGAGGATCATGTTCTGGGAAGTGGAGGATTCGGCAGAGTGTACAAGGCTGTTTTGCCCAGTGATGGAACAGTGGTTGCTGTCAAATGTTGCTTGGCAGAGAAAGGGCAACAATTTGAGAAGACTTTTGCTGCTGAGTTAGCAGCCGTGGCCCATCTTCGTCACAAGAACCTTGTCAGGCTCAGAGGTTGGTGTGTTCATGAAGATCAGTTATACCTTGTCTATGATTACATGCCTAACCTCAGCCTTGACCGCATACTTTTTCGGCGGCCTGAGAATCCAAATGCAGACCCTCTTGGTTGGGGAAGGCGTGGGAAAATTATCAAAGGTTTGGCAGCTGCATTATACTATCTTCATGAGCAACTAGAGACCCAGATCATTCACAGGGATGTGAAAACCAGCAATGTGATGCTTGATTCCCAATATAATGCTCGGTTGGGTGACTTTGGCTTGGCAAGGTGGCTAGAACATGAGCTTGAGTACCATCCAAGTAGGAAAACATCAACCAAGGTTGACCCTTTCAGGTTGGCAGAGACAACAAGAATTGGCGGCACAATCGGGTATCTGCCTCCCGAGAGTTTCCAGAAAAAAAGCATCGCTACTTCGAAATCTGATGTGTTCAGCTTTGGCATAGTTGTGCTGGAAGTGGCATCTGGAAGGAGAGCCATTGATCTTGCATACCCTGATGATAAGATCATTTTACTTGACTTCGTTAGAAGACTATCTGATGAGGGAAAGCTCCTAGCTGCAGGGGATACTCGGCTACCGGATGGTTCCTACAAGCTTGCTGAGATGGAGCATTTTCTTCACATAGGCCTTCTTTGTACGCTCCATGAACCACAATCGAGGCCTAGCATGAAATGGATTGTAGAAGCACTTTGTGACATTTCAAGCCCATTGCCAGCTCTTCCTTCTTTCCATTCCCACCCCTTGTATATTACTTTGTCTTCTCCGTCGGACACAAGTCTCAGCAGCACAAATGCCTCCAGCACTGTCACAGAAAATGTCAGCACAATCACAAACTATTCTTCATCCAACTATGTCACAGCAAGCAAATGGGAGAACAATATACATGACTGCTGAAGATAGAAACAGCGGTATCTCCTCTGCAAAGAGCATGTATCGCCACAAATCATTTCCTGTGGTTGAAGCACCAAGGGAAATATCATACAAGGAGCTTGCCTTGGCCACAGATCATTTTTCAGAGTCAAGGAAGGTGGCAGAGCTAGACTTTGGAACTGCCTACTATGGCATCCTTGAGGATCGTTACCATGTCATGGTGAAACGCCTTGGAATGAAGACCTGCCCTGCACTGCGTGAAAGATTCTCCAATGAGCTGCGAAATCTAGCAAGGCTTCGCCACCGGAATTTGGTGCAGCTTCGAGGATGGTGTACTGAGCAAGGGGAAATGCTTGTTGTGTATGATTACTCAGCAACAAGACTTCTCAGTCACCATCTTCTCCATCATGACAATCATAGAGATGGCCGTTCTGTCTTGCAATGGCATCATAGATACGGTATCATAAAATCACTAGCTTCTGCTATTCTTTATCTTCACGAGGAATGGGAAGAACATGTAATTCACAGGAACATCACTTCTTCGGCTGTTGTCCTTGAGCCAGATATGAACCCAAGACTCAGCAGTTTTGCCCTGGCTGAATTTTTGACCCGGAATGAGCATGGCCATCATGTAATCAAAGACACCAGCAAATCAGTTCGAGGGATTTTTGGCTACATGTCACCGGAATATATAGAATCCGGTGAAGCTACCTCAGCCGCCGATGTTTACAGTTTTGGCGTGGTGGTGCTTGAAGTTATCAGTGGACAGATGGCTGTGGACTTTCGGCAGCCTGAGGTGCTATTGGTGAAGAAAGTTCATGAATTTGAAACAAGAAAAAGACCACTGGAGGATTTAGCAGATAGGAGGCTCAACGGAGAGTACAATTACAAAGAACTCATGAGATTGGTAAAGCTCGGAATTGCATGCACCCGATCTGACCCACAGTCAAGACCAAGCATGAGACAAATAGTAAGCATCCTTGATGGAAATGATCGATTGATCATGGAGAAAAACCAGAAAGAGAGCACGGAAGAATGGAAACAGAGGAATGCTTATTCATTGTCATTGATCAGGAGAATCCAAGCTCTAGGCATACGTTGAGAGTTTTTTCAACACAAAGATGTAAAATATGGGTTTTAGGAGTTCTTATTGATTAGAAAGTTTTTCTTCTTTGTCATTTCTTGATTGAGCTAGAATTTATGCATACTAAATGTGCCGTGACTGTATATAACAAGACAAGACTACTAGACTAGTGTATTGATGTATCCTTCTGCTGGAGGGGGGCGTTAATTTTGAATTCTACTACAGCATTTGTGCTTTGCTTTATTGAATTTCAGGATCACCAGAAATATAGACTACGCTTTTAGCATGATTTCAGGAAAATAAGCAAAGATTAGGGGGCCTAAAGGGTACAATTATGATCAAATACAACACCGTGTTTTCAAGTAAGGTTCAAACGCTAGACGATGCATGAAAGATATAGAACTAAATAACCGTACACCAGCATATTTATAACAGTCAAAGTCATATATATTTAACAAAGCCTAACATCAGTGAGTCATCTCTGCAGGATGGCCTTCTGTTTGATGATTCAATTCATCCTCATCAATCCCACCCATTTTAAGAAGCCAAAGAGGAATTCCCTGAAAGTGACTTGCCCATTTCTGTCCCAGTCCATTTCTTCTGCAAAAATGACGGACAGAAAAAGGTATTTAAAATAAAACAAATAATAAAACAAGAAAGGGAGGGAAAAAAAACAGGTAGACTGTTAGTAATGTCAGAAGAAAAAAGCGAAGCAAATAAATACTAAATCTGATCTTAGTGACGTCAGCTGGGGATCTTTCCCAAGGGTAAGTCTCATTCAGGGTCTTGTCCACGTCCTTCCTGTTTAGCTTGCCATCACCATTTTTATCTAGAAACAGAAAGACTTCGACTATCGTGTGAAAAATTGTTCCCAGCTGTGTTAACTCCACCTTGATGAAAGAAACAAAAATCATCATATGATAATAAGAAGAATATCAAGAAGGCACAAAAACCAAGTTTTTTGCCCAATACATTATCAGAGGATGAATATTCTTCTAGAAGATAGATGAGGCATAGAAGAACGATAAATTCATTAAACCGTATGCCCTTGCTTCCATCAATATCACAGTAATGAAAAAGATCTTTAGTTTCCTCCTCTGGTAGATCAATTTGCAGTTGTTCAAAGCACTTTTTTAGTTCACTGTACTCTATAGATCCGTTAGAGTCCTCATCTTTGTAACACGTGAGATAAAAGTTAGTTTTCTTTAAAAAATGAAGAACTACAGTTCAAAGAAAATAACGTGGGATGGACATTGAAAATGGGAACTTACCATACTGTTCAAAGATTCCTTCTAATGTTTTGAGTCCCTCCCTGATCTGAGGGAACCGCATAACGACTCTATCAATTGACTTGAAAGCTCTTTGTCCAGCAGAAGAAGATCTATTGATTTCAACTAATTTCCTTTCTATCTTCCTATCCAACTTCTTGTATTTGTTTGCTTTAGTCAGACAACAAATCATGGCTCCCATTTTATTCAGAAATGGGCAAGGATAAGACATCCCTTGCAATGACAGACAGGGAAACCAATGAGTGCAGCAAAATATACGAACTACTGCATTTTCAAGTTGAATGACCAGTTACTGTTTATGATTAATGATTGTTTTAACATAAAGCAAATTTCATTTATGTAACATGTAATTAAATGATTCTACGCAGATCAGGATAATCAATGTTTCCCTATTCTTTGTTTCATCTCCGAACACGTATTGATATGAGTTGCTAATATTTTCTTTTTCTTTTCTGAAAGAAAAACGATTTTTAAGATTCTTACAATGAATAAATTTTATTAGAGTACAAGAACAGAACGCTAATGATCCAAGTAAATTAAACAAGCGAAAAATGGGTCTCAAATGGTTTAGAAAATTAGGTGAAGTTGAATATGAAATTGTAACTTAACATATGGATGCATAAAATGATGTATAAATGCAATGTTATAGACGGTGACAGACTGCTTTAGCTTATTAAACTAACTGCCCGTTTGGATCAGCGATTGGAAAAACAGCTTATAGAAAAAATAACTTATAGAAAAGTGAAGTTGGTAAAAGTTAAATTGGATAAGTTGAATTGTGTTTGGATTGGAGTTTAGAAAAGTCAATTTGCAAAAGTGAGATTGGTAAAAGTTTGTTTGGATTATAGTTGAGTAAAAGTAAGTTTGGCTGAAAAATTACCAAAATGGGTATGAATTTTAATAAATAATAAAACATGATAAAAAATTAATTTCAAATAATACAATAAAATTAAAATAAATTAATATGAAGAAATCAAATTTAATGAGTGGATTAAATTTTAAAATTTTAAAGAAATCATAAAAAATATTTTAAATATACAGTGAAACATGGAGAAAAAACAGAACTGAGATAATATAATAAAGAAGTGAATAAAAAATGGAGAGAGAACTGACAAAAATATAACGGTCCAGAGAGCTTTGTGATCGGGCGTTGCAATTTCAAAAAGCTTCTTCACAGAGCTTAACAGATCGAGCGGTGCAATCTGATTTTTGGTGGATAAACTGGATGGCCCAAACGCTGATCCAAACTGCCTTCAATATGCAATCGGGCTTATTATAGCTTTTCATCAACGTTTGGCTCATAAAACGCTCTCCCAAACAGGCTCTAACTAATGATGCAGCTGCCTTGAACTGCAAGAAACACCAAACTTCTGCTCCAAGCACATGAAGCTGACTACAATTTGTTTGATGTGCTTATGATAAAAAGGATTCTTTTTCTTTTTTTAATAGAAAGACGCAGTAAATATTCTACAGCGAACTAGAAAATCATGCAGCAGAGCAAAAGGAAGGAAGTCTTATATATCTTCATAGAAGGATTAAGGGTGTTCTTGACTTGAGTCAAGTATTCAAGTTCGATGGTAATCTACTCAAAACAAAATCTATTTCATAACCAATTGCTTCGCACATGGATCAAACTAAGACTTATACAGTATATACATATATATATAGTCCCCTTTTGCGAACTAAATTAAACACAATCGTCATCAGAAGAATCGAATGAAACTGAGAGAATATTGAGAGAGGGATTTAACAAACAAAGAAGTAAAGAAGTCGGGGAAACGGAGAAAGGAAAAGCAGAAAAACTTACTGAGTGAAACTTTGATGGTTGATCAAGAAATGGAGGGAAAGGGTGGAAATAGGTTGTATATATAGATCGATGCAAGAGAAAGAAAGAAAGAAAAGGGAGATTGACAGAGAGAGGAAAAAAGCAAAGAGTAGTGGGATCCAAAGTGGATGCCACCACCCCCACGATGGCTCCCTCTTTCTTGACATTTCTCAGGAATATGTTCCCGCTTTGTCGTGACTCTCAAGCTACGAATTCACTGCTGCTTAGCTCATAAATAATTGAAACCAGAAAAATATAGTTTTTAAAATAATAGTATTTCGTAATTTCGTTTTGATATTTGTTGACCATTTTATTTTGACACAATCATTTATAGAAGTAAATATAAGTTATGAAGTTATAAAAATTATAATAAGTATTTTAACAATTCATTACGTATGAGGCATTAGTTTTTAAAAGATTTTTCTTTTGAAACTGAATAATTCTTTTAATTTATTCTTTTAATTAAATAAAATGTTTTAACGTTTTTTAATACCATCCTAATTCTCAATTGATTTTAATTGATTTTATTAATTTTAAATTTATAATGATTTCTTAAAAATGACACATTAAATTTGTATAAAAATATTTTTATATATATGATTAAAAATATTTTCTGGTCATTTTTAAAAGATTTTTTTTTTTTTTTACATATATTCAAAATGGAGACGGGATTTGAATTTTGCAGGGTCTTAAATGTAATTTCGTCACGAATTTAGTCTACCCTGCTAACGCAAAGTACGGTAAACTGTCTAATCCCCGATTACCAGAGAGAATCTGGTCACTGGCGAGGGGGAGAGAGCGCAAAAGAGAGGGTGAGAAAGAATGGAGGGTTCAATAGTTAGCAGCAGAAGCTATTGTGTTTCTCATCCTCATGCCCCTTCACCCCATAGATGTGCTTCATTACCAGCGGTCTCCAAACTTCCTACATTTTCAGCTGGATGTCCTCGGCCATCTCCTTCGCTCTCTCTTTTCATCCACCCGATACACAAGAAGTCAACCAGTAATCTCAACCGGTTTCATCGTCGAACCTTCATCGCTTGCTCGTCTGACAGGGACTTTTGTAAACGAGGCTCCAGTAAAGGTACTTCGCCGCCTTCTCGACTCGCCAGGAGTTCATCAAGGCCCTGCATGTTTCGATGGTCTCAGTGCGAAGCTAGTTGAAAGAGCTGGATTCCGATACTGCTTTACCAGCGGTATTCACTTCTCAAGATCTGAGGATTCATTCGTTATTATTATTTCTGGCCAATGAATGAGGATATCAGTTATTGATCTGTGTGTTGATAGATGGGAACCATTCAAGACCATAGGTCACTAGTTAGATTGCTTGAGAATCAGAAGGCGTCTAAAAGAGTAAAAGATCTGTGATTATGGAATATTCTAAATTAACATCTTTAAGTGGCTTCTTTCTCCGCAATATTCATTCTTCAATTGGCTTTACTCATTACTTTGCTTCTTTTTAAGTTTTCCCCATCTTTGAGCTAGTTGATTTTAATTGTTTGGTGTCGATTTAACAACTGATCTTTTTAATACGCCATTATATGAAATGTGTCATTTTGCAGATGTTTGGATTTCAAAAGCTTGGAAAATTGCCATTTTCACTGCTACAGCGCTTAGCCTTTATATTACCCGTAAATCAGATTATGTCGCCTTATACCTCGTTTCAGATTCATCTTCTCTAACTCAAAATGTTCACAGCACTTGAGTTTTGTTATTTGTAAAATGTATAATTGCTTTTTGTTTTTACAGAGCCATACTCCTGCCAAAAGGGTATAATGGCAAATCTAGGCCTTAGAGAACATTTGAAGATAAACAAGTGGTAGGAAGCAGATTAACAGTATCAATAAACATCAACCTCATTAACTACTTTATACTTCAGAATTCCGAGATGTGTTTTAGCTTGCGGATCAGCAACTTAACTTTTCTTGCCTGTGCTTTGGTTAGGTTTTTCAATATCAGCTTCCAGATTGGGGTTGCCAGATACAGGCTATATGTCTTATGGAGAAATGTTGGATCAGGGTCAACAGATTACACAAGCTGTGTCAATTCCTGTCATTGGGGATGGCGATAATGGATATGGGAATGCAATGAATGTTAAAAGGACAGTCAAGGGTTATATTAGAGCTGGTTTTGCTGGAATCATTCTCGAAGATCAGGTTTCTTTCTGTATGTCATGTTTTTATTCCGGAAGAGTTTTGTGGTGATCTAATAATTATCTCCATTCTCTTTGTATCTGTCTCTAACATCAATCCTTTTCCTTATGTCATGGACTTATTCTATTGTTTCCTTTATTAGGCTTGTTGTTGTTGTTTTAGTATTCAGTTTTTCCTGATAATTATGGCTAGGTATCTCCAAAAGCATGTGGCCACACAAAAGGAAGGAAAGTGGTATCCAGAGAGGAGTCAGTGATGCGGATTAAAGCAGCTGTAGATGCTAGAATAGAGAGTGGGTCTGATATAGTCATTGTAGCACGAACTGATTCTCGTCAAGCAGTGTCATTGGATGAAGCACTCCGAAGATCAAGGGCTTTCGCTGATGCTGGAGCAGATGTTCTTTTTATTGATGCATTGGCATCAAAGGAGGAAATGAAAGCATTTTCTGAAGTTTCTCCCCTTATTCCAAAATGGTATTTTTTTCAGTCTGCAATCAAATTTTTTAATAAATATATTATTAAAAAAAATATTTTAATCATTTCTTATATGTAAAAGCTTCTAGGTAGTTATAGAATTTTAATTAGTAAGCATTAAGCAATAATTGTAGGTTTGTTTGTGTGTGTGAAGCCATCAGGAAAAATGTATGCATTATTGTAAGATCTTGTAGTCTTGTGTAGGCCAATATGCTTGAAGGAGGAGCAAACACCAATACTTGATCCTCAAGAACTTGAAGATATTGGCTACAAACTTGTGGCATATCCACTTTCTTTGATTGGTGTTTCTATACGGGCAATGCAGGTGACATGCCTTTTTCCTCTCCTTTTCTAAGAAACAATATAAGTTACTAAATTTGCTTATTGGCAAATAAAATTAACTGAAAATTTTCTATTTATATCTTAAGATATTTGACATATAGAAGGAAATCCCAATACTCATCTTGAATAAGTTGTTACCATTATTTTCTTGATCTAAAATTAACATTCTTAAGGGTGCATGGAGATGCCAAATTCCAAATCCATGCTTTAGTTTAATTAATGAGTGTATTATAAGGCATCATTTATTTGCAGCGATACTCTCTTGTTCCCTCTCAAAAATATGAGTAGACAATCTATCTAAAGCGAAGAAGGAATTGCTGTACTGTAATGTTTGTAGGGAATATTTTGAAGCTAGAATAGTTTTATCAGAACTCCTAGGGGTTGATGATTTGGGATCTTTTAACTGAGTAATTTTGCGATTATAAATCTATCTGTTTTGGGGATGTTCTAAATGAGGTCAATCTACAATGACTTCAAATCTTGCAAATATAGTAATGGGGTCAATTGTCCGGTTACTAATGTGGCATGAAGAATTTTGGACCTCGTGTCTGCCCCTCACAAGTGCTACCAAGTTCAGGATTGAGTTGAGACTAGAGGCGTTGAGCAGTTATTATGT